TATTGCAGCCCAGCGGCACCCAACCATCGGCCTGCGTCAGGCACTAAGCAAAGTGCCAGCAGAACGGACAGGCAGCATCACAGTAGGCAGAGGCTCTCGCCCCGAGTGGGGCAGCTACAGGCCGATCTCATGGTCCCCGGGCCCTGGGACAGGCTTTGCTCACGTTCTGCCCGGTGGGACGCAGCCGCTACTTGACAGAGCCGCACCGAGAATTTAACCGCCTGCTTTATGGGGCAAATAGCCACTGCACAGTGGCTCTGGATTCGGTCGCCCGCTCAGCACTTCGCCTGGCAGTGAAAGGAGCTGGTGCCCCAGGTGTTCTGCTAAATCTGGCGTGTGATTTTCACACCCGTACCGGAACATGCCCCGGCTCCTGGCTCTCACCATGTTTCTACACAACCCTGGGGGCGCAGCAGGGACGTCCCCCCCCTCCCCCCGGCCCAGTTCTGTCGAGCTGGCGACTGGCTAGTAGGACTTGCCGGGCCACCCATCGGAATCAAGGCTGGTCAAGACGTGTTCACCGACCGGGCGCTGCCTGGCTGGTGGGGAAGTCAAACAATTTCAGCCCCACCCACCACACTGTGGGGTCAGACGTCTCCGGGCAGAAGATGAAGATCCAGACCTGGGAGCTGGGCCAGCAGAACCCCGGGTTCAGGTGGGGTTGAGCGCCATGGAGAAGGGGGATGAGTTGGGGGGAGGGATAGCTCAGAGGTTTGAGCATTGGCCTGCTAAACCCAGGGTTGTGAGTTCAATCCTTGAGGGGGCCATTTAGAGATCTGGGGCAAAAATTGGGGATTGGCCCTGCTTTGAGCAGGGGGTTGGACTAGATACCTCCTGAGGTCCCTTCCAACCCTGACATTCTATGAGTTCATCTACCGAGAGTTCAACCGGTCGCAGCGAACGGGACGCTCCCCCACCAAGAGGTCTTGCCACCTCCTGCATGAGTCCAGGTCTCACTGCGGACGCAAGACTGTCTTTGCACTGAGACCAAGGTCAGGGTCCATCAAACCTGTGTTCTCCCTAGACTGTTGTACGGTCAGAAACCTGGCCCCTACACAGGCAGACCTGGAGCGCCTGGAGGCTTTCCAGACATACTGTCAGTGCCAAATAGGCATAACGTGGTCTGACTATGTGTGAAATGTCACCGTCCCACAAGGCCTGGCCAGCCTCCAGTCGCCCGTTAGATTCAAAGGCCGCATGGCAGGTTCTCCGGCTACATCGCCAGGATGGACAAAAACACTCCAGTGCACCGTGCTGTCCAGCGCTCCCAGCATGGGGTGCTGTGAGGAGCAGGGCAGGAGCCTCCAGTTACTCCAGCCCCGGACTCTCCCAGCAGGGGGTGCTGTGGGGAACGGGGCAGGAGCTGGCTGTGGGGGGAGCCCACACCTGAGTCCCAGGATCTGCCCGTGTCTCACTCCCCGGCTGAAGGCTGGGTGCTTGGATACAGGCCCTGGTGCTCGCCCAGGCCCACATGTTGCTGCGAGTCTCTCTGGAGGGGGTGATCAATGACCCCAGGGGGTGGGCAATTTTTTTTGTGGGGGGGAGACGACTTTGGTGGATCTGGGCCTGATTTACTTCTGGCCCTTGGAGGCGAGAGTGAGGAGAGCACCCAGCCTCTGCCAGCCCCCACCCCAAGCCAGAGAATCCCAGCTGCAGGGAGGGTCTATGACACGCTGATGGGCAATTCTGATCCTGCCCAGCAGAGGACAGCGGATTAGAGCTCCCCCCGCCCCCTGGCTGCCCCCTCCTGCCCATGGCACCCTCCACGGCTGGGTCTGCACAGCTGACACCCCCAGGGACAGGGCAGCGGCCACTGGGCTCCCTCCAGCCAGAACCCGGCTGGGACGTGCAGCCCCAGCCTCAGGGGCCCGGGCCGGCTCTGTGTGGCCCCAGCTCTCTAGGGGTGGGCTGAGACGTCCCATCGGCTCAGCCGCTCCCCGGGAGCGGAGGGCTTTGCAAGGGCTGCCTTTGCCATGGACCCTGGTAGAACTGGGGCGGGAGGAGGGGGGGACCCAGGGCTGGGCTAGCAGGGGCCTGCAGGTTGGGAGTGAGGGGCACCAGCAGAGCTGTGTACGTTGCTAACCCCTCTTCCGCTACCCCAGCCCCATGGACCCCTGCTGTCCCCGCCTGCCCCCATGGGCTGGGGCTGTCCAGCAAGCCAAGGGGGGGGCATGGCTGGTAACCTGACCCCGGGCACGGGTATTAAGCCATGGTGGCTGCTTCCCACCCCGTCCGTGCCAGGCAGCTGTTCCTGTCTGTCCCCAGGACTGGCCCACCCCGTCCTCTCTGGGCTCCCAACCCGGCCCTCTCCCAACCCAGCTGTTCGAAACATCTCCACCCTGAAACCCACCCTGGGACCCCAATGCCACCCCCAGGGGTGACCAATGCTTGGGGGACCCAGCCGTGGGGCAGTCAGAGCCTGGGGATGTGGGGGGCGGAGAGACACAAACCCACAACCACAGTGACACACATACACAACCCCAGCCTGATACAAGTGACAAGCACAATTGACACGTACAATTGACCTGCACTGACCACCCACTGTAGCACCTGAACACACTGACAACCCCGCACAAGCACCAAAACAGCCGCATTCAGGAACGGATACACCCCCGGCATGGACAGCCACCCACACGCCAACAACCACATCCCACACACATCAACCACACTGTAGGGAGTGGGTCAGAGGCGCTGGCTGCGTGTGGGGGGGGGCACAAAATGAAATTAGTAGGCAGCAGGTTTAAAACAAACAAAAGGGGATATTTCTTTACACAAACCTGTGGAACTCCTTGCCAGAGGATGTTGTGAAGGCCAAGACTATAACAAAAAAGAACTAGATAAGTTCATGGAGGAAAGGTCCATCAAGGGCTATTAGCCAGGATGGGAAGGGATGGTGTCCCTAGCCTCTGTTTGCCAGAAGCTGGGAATGGGCAACAGGGGATGGATCACTTGATGTTGACCTTTTCCTTCCTTCTGGGGCACCTGGCATTGGCCACTGTCGGAAGACAGGACACTGGGCTAGATGGACCTTTGGTCAGACCGTTCTTATGAGCTCCTGGCTACTCCAGCCCTGGGCTGGCTCAGTAGGGAGCACTGTGAGGAGCGGGGCAGGAGATTGGCTGTGGGGGAACCCCCAGCCGAGCCCATGGCTCTTCCATTGTCCATACCAACCCCTGCCGCGCCCACTGCCCTGGGAGGAGAATCTGGGGTGTATAGGATCTGGGGGGGCCCCCAGAGGGAAAATTTATAGGTTCTAAGAGTTGTAGGCTCTGGGGGGTCCTAGCAGAAGAGGGTGTATAGAATCTGGGGCTGTCCCTGCAGGGGGGGGTATAGTATTGGTGTGTAGGGGGGTGTCGTTGCAGAGGTGTAGGCTCTGGGGGCTGCATAGGATCCAGAGAGGTCCCTGAAGAGGGAAGATGTACAGGATCTCCGGAGTACAGGGCCCCAGAAACGCCCACTGCAGAGAGGGGGCTTTACAGGCTTTCGAAGTGGGGGCGGGAGCGAACAGCGTGAGCTGCAAAGTCTCCGGGGTGGGGGGGTGTTTCTCTCATGGGAAGTGGGGGTGCTGCATGGGAAGTGTTCCCTGCAAAATTTTCCCATACCGGGCTCCCAAGGGAGAGGGTGTCCCGCACCCGCAGAGGGAGGAAGTTCCTGTGCGGGGCTCTCGGGGAGGGGAGCTCTGGCCAGGCTCTCAGGGGATCCCTGCAAGTGTGGGGGCTGTCCGGGCTGTCGGTGGGTGGGGGGATATGGGCTCGGGTTCCCCGCAGAGGAGAGGGGCGGTCCGGGCTCCCCGGGGGGGGATATGGGCTCGGGTTCCCCGCAGAGGAGGGGGGCTGTCCGGGCTCCCGGGGGGGGGCCTCGGGTTCCCCGCAGGGGGGGGGCTGTCCGGGCTCCCGAGGGGGGTACACCCCAGATTCTCCTTCTCTTTCTGCCGGCCCCAGCTCAACTAGCCCCAGCCCAGCCCGCCGCAGTGACATCCCTGCAACCGGGCCCCAGCGCAGCTCCACCCGCGGGGCCCCACCGAAATGGCAAGACATTGGGGCGGAGGGGGTTGGGGGTGGCAGGGGAAGGGTGTAGGGGGGGGTTATAAGGGCAAAACTTCGGAGCCACCTTTTGCTGGGGAGACGCTTTCAGCCCCGACTGGAGCCCCGGATGGTGGCCTGAGCAGTCACCAGGCTCAGAATAGTCCCGAGGGTGGGTTCGCCATGGACACCGCCCCCCCCCCCCCCCCCCCGCACCCAGCCCCCCCAGCCCTGCTCCTCCCAGGCCCGCTCCTGGCTCCCCGCCCCGCGCACCCAGACCCTCCCCCCAGCTCCCCCGGGCCCAGAAAGCCCAGGGGAGGGCAGGCGCTGCCCACCCCGACCCCGAGGCCGGACCACAACGGCCCTGCCCCCTCCCCCGCGCTGGCTGCGGCCAGTCGCCTGCCCAGGCTTGGCCTCCCGCTGAGCAGCCGCGTCTCCCTGCGCCCGGCGGGGGAGGGCGCGGCTCGCTAGGCCCCGGGGCTGGGGGGGAAGGAGCCGCATCCCACCAGCAGGCTCCTGCAGGCACTCGCCAACTTTGGCCAAGCGGCGCGAGCGCCCCGGGATCCGCCCCCCTCCCCGCGTGGCAACGTGTTTGGAAACTTTTGCAAAGTGGCGGGGGCGGCGCCGGGAGGAAGGGGGCAGATGGGGGCCGGGGACGGCGGGCAGAGCTGGCCGGGAGGCGGGGGGAGGAAGGAAGCTGTTTTTTGGCGACGCTCCCTTTGTGTGTGAACGGGACAAGCCAGGCTGGCGCTTTGGAAGTGGAGGAAGAGGGGGCGGAGCCGAGGGGCAGGGGGCGGAGCCCGGGGAGTGACGGGGGGCTGGGGAAGGGGCGGGAGGGGGCAAGTGAGAAGGGGGGACTGGGGAGGGGGGGGTCGAGGATTGGGGGGCGGCGACGCGGGGAGGGGGGGGAAAGAAGAACAGAGGGGGAGGGGACGCGGGGGGGGGCAGGGCGGGGGAGGAGGCACCCGAGCCCCGAACATGGCTTCCTTCCCTGCGGATCCCGCCGCGCCCGGCCGCGGCCCGGGGGGGGCCCCCCAGCCGCCGCCGCCGCCGCCCCCGCCCCCGCCGCCGCCGGCAGGCGAGTCCCGTCAACTTCTGCCAACTTTAGCGGCCGCCCCCCCTTCCCCGCCGCCGGCCGCCGCCGCCCCCGCGGGCTCCCCGCCGCCGGCGGCCCCGCCGCGCTTCTCCCCGGAGCAAGTGTCGTGCGTGTGCGAGGCGCTGCTGCAGGCCGGCGACCCGGGCCGGCTGGGCCGCTTCCTGGGCTCGCTGCCGGCCGAGCCGGAGCCGGCGGCGGGCGGGGAGAGCCTGGCCAAGGCGCGGGCGCTGCTGGCCTTCCAGCGCGGCGACTTCGGGGAGCTGTACCGGCTGGTGCAGAGCCGGCCCTTCGCCGCCCCGCACCACCCGTTCCTCCAGGACCTCTACCTGCGCGCCCGCTACCGCGAGGCCGAGGCGGCCCGGGGCCGGGCGCTGGGCGCGGTGGACAAGTACCGGCTGCGCAAGAAGTTCCCGCTGCCCAGCACCATCTGGGACGGCGAGGAGACGGTGTACTGCTTCAAGCGCCGCTCGCGGGCCGCCCTGCGCGACTCCTACGGCCGCAGCCGCTACCCCAGCCCCGAGCAGAAGCGGCGCCTGGCCCGCGACACCGGCCTCTCGCTCACCCAGGTCAGCAACTGGTTCAAGAACCGGCGGCAGCGGGACCGCAGCGGGGGAGGCGCCGGCACCCCCAGCAAGAGGTAAAGGGGGGAGGGGATCCCCCCCCCCAGACCGGACTCCCCCAGAGAACGGATAGCCCCCCCACCCCCCGCAGCCTCTGCGGGGAACCCGCCTCCCCCCCCCATGCGAGCCCAGACATCCCCCCCGGGAGCCCGGACAGCCCCCCCCCAGCCTTTGCGGGGAACCCGCCTCTCTCCCCCCCCCCCGCGAGCCCAGACATCCCCCCCCGGGAGCCCGGACAGCCCCCCCAAGCCTCTGCGAGGAACCCGCCCCCTCCCGCGCGCCCAGACAGCCCCCCCAGCCTCTGCGAGGAACCCGCCCCCCCGCCGGGAGCCCGGACAGCCCCCCCCCCTCTGCGGGGAACCCCCCCCCGCGAGCCCGGACAGCCCCTCCTCAGCCTCTGTGGGGAACCCGAGGCCTCCCCCGCCCTCCCGGGAGCCTGGACAGCCCCCCCCACCCTCTGCTGGGAACCCGAGCGCCGCCCCCCAGGAGCCCGGACAGCCCCCCTCCTCTGCGGGGAACCAGAGCCCGTATCCCCCCACCCGCCGACAGGCCCCACACTTGCAGGGATCCCCTGAGAGCCTGGCCAGAGCTCCCCTCCCCCGAGAGCCCTGCACAGGAACCTCCTCCCTCTGCGGGTGCGGGACACCCTCTCCCTTGAGAGCCCGGTATGGGAAAATTTTGCAGGGAACACTTCCCATGCAGCACCCCCACTTCCCATGAGAGAAACACCCCCCCACCCCGAGACTTTGCAGCTCACTCTGTTCGCTCCCGCCCCCACTTCGAAAGCCTGTAAAGCCCCCTCTCTGCAGCCGGCATTTCTGGGGTCCTGTACTCCGGAGATCCTGTACATCTTCCCTCTTCAGGGACCTCTCTGGATCCTATGCAGCCCCCAGAGCCTACACCTCTGCAACGACACCCCCCCTACACACCAATATTATACAACCCCCCCCTGCAGGGACAGCCCCAGATTCTATACACCCTCTTCTGCTAGGACCCCCCAGAGCCTACAACTCTTAGAACCTATAAATTTTCCCTCTGGGGGCCCCCCCAGATCCTATACACCCCAGATTCTCCTCCGCAGGCACCCCATCCTATACAGCCCTCTCCTGCAAGCACCCCAACCTGATCCTACACACCCCAAAGATCCTATTCAGCTCCCCCTGGAAGGATCCCCCCTCAATCCTATTCACCCCCTCTTTGGATCCCATAGGCACCCCCTGCAGGGACCTCCAAAAGAGGTTGGAGGATGGACCTTGACCTCTTGCAGGCGTCCCCTTATAGGGTGAAGGGAACCCTAGCAAGAGGAACCCCCCCCCCGCAGGCATCCTCAGCTAGATGTGAGGAGATACCCCAATATCTCATCCTGCTGCAGGGAAAGGGGGACCCCAAGAACCTATAGAAACTTTGAAGATGTGTCCCCAGGGAAAGGAAGAATCTCTTTTGATGAGAGGGGCTGGGAAGCCCCAGGATTCTGGAGGGACCCCGAAAATAACACAGCCCCTGCAGCAGGAGGGCACCCAGTAATAGACACAGGAAGAGCCCTGCAACAGCACCTCCAAATCACCCAGGCAGACCCCATTTTGGACTGGGACCACTCAGCAAGAGGGACAGCTTCCCTCCCCAGATCTCATCCCTGGGCAGGAGAGGAGCTGGGAGGGTGCACCCCAAAACCCCATGCACCCCTCCCATCTCTCCCCAGGGACAGGCCAGCAACCCCAATAAGAGGTGTTGGCAGCCCCCACATGTTCATAAACATCTCCCCCTACAGGGTCAGAAGTCAGTGCTGGGAGCCCCCAGAGAAAGCTAGATGCACCCCAAAATCCTATGCACCCTGACCCATCCCCCACAATGCTCTGACTCCCCCCATGAGAGCAAGGTGCACCCCCAAACCATGCACACCTTAACCCACCTCTCCATAGTTCTGGGACCCTGCAGTGAGAGCTAGGTGCATCCCCAAACCATATGCACCCAACTCATCCCCCCACAGTGCTGGGACCCATGGCAAGAGAAGCGCCCCCTCCCCACACCGCTCCCGGGGGGAAGAGTGGTGGTGGGGGACAGGCCCTTACCCGATACACCCTCAGTACAAGAAGTGTGTGGAGAGGTGTCTTGACTTGGTGTCTTCCATCTCTCCCCATGAGGGGAAGGGGGGCTGTTCCCAACTCTCTCCCTTTGTTGTGAAATATGAGACCCCCCTTCCTCCACCCCCAGCTCTCTGGCATCCTGGTGATTTCACCTTCCAGCCGGTGCTGGCGTCCTCCCCCGGCTGGGGCCTAGGGAAGCTGGGTCCGGGGAGGCTGGGGCCTGGTGCAAACCCGCGGGGCTGGAGACGTGGCCTGGGACGGCTGGATCTCTGTGTCGCAGCTCTTTGTATCCCTGCCGCGTGGTGTGGGGAGGCCGATGCCCGACTGCTGGGGGTGGGGGGGTGACGACTCTGAGACCCCGCAACGAATTTAGCGCTGGGTCTCTGCTGCCTTCCGTAGATCTGTGGGGCCAGAGCCTTGGCTGAGGGCGATCAGCGCAGCCCCAGAGGCTCCAATGGAGCGAGGATGATTGACCCCAGCTGGGGATCTAGTTCATGGCCTGTGATGTAGGTAGTAGAGATGCGGGGTCTCCGGCTCTGGCCGTGTGGGCTTGGAGGATCCCCCTCTGGCTGGAATCAGTCCTGCTGGGACTCTGCCGGGGGGTGGGGAACTCTTGGGTTGCTGGGGAACTTTCCTACTTGTGGTGCAGCCTGCGGACCCCAGGTAGGTTTGTGTCACGGGGTAACTGAGCCGTCGGGAGGCAGGGGGGTCAGGAGCTTTCAACGCTGTCAAACTCACTGGCCCAAAAGATCCTAACCCGGCTCAGGCCCTGCCCCCAGGAGTTGGCAGTCTGACTATACAGTGGGGAAACTGAGGCATGGGGTGAGGAAGGCACTCACCTAGCAAGCCAGAGCTGGGATTAGAACGCCAGTCTCTGAAGGCCCAGTTGGCTGCTCTACCCACTGGGCCATGCTATCTCTCATTACTCTCTGGATATCAGCCCCCTTTATGGTGGGGGCAGAGGCTGCAGCTAGAGGGGGGATGACAGCTCCGGCTAACCCCCCGCCCCTGACAGTCCCTCTCTCCCGGCAGCGAGTCGGACGGGAACCCCAGCACGGAGGACGAGTCGAGCCGGGGGCTGGAGGAGACTGAGCTGGCCGTGGGGACGCCCGCCGGGCCGGATGGGGCCAGCGCCTCGGGGAACCTCTTCTTGCCGGCGCCCGCCGGGGCCTCGTCCATCCTGCTCAACGGCAACTTCATCACCACGGCCGGCCCGCAGGCCATGCTGCTGAACAGCGGCTCCGTGCTCCAGGCGCCAGGCGGGGTGCTCATCAACGGGCTGGCGCTGGGCGACAGCCAGACCATCACCCTGAGCCCTGTGGCGCCCACCCCGCCCGTGCTCCTCAACGGCGCCGCCCTGGCGGGGGCCAAGACCCCAACCGGCACTGGCCTGGAGTCGCCACCGGCCGCCTCGGCCAGGCCTGACATCAAGGCGGAAGCCGGCGAGTCACTGCCCTCTCTGGTGTTCAGCCCGGGCACCTTGGAGGTGAAGACAGAGGAGAGCCAGGCGGTCGGGGCCCTGTCCGAGGTGCCCACGTTCCTTCCCCCAGCCGCGTCCGACCCGAAGGGGGTGCTGCTTCCCGCGCCGGCCAGCTCAGTGCCCCAGGTGGTGCCGTCGGGCGAGGAAGCCCCCTGCCCGGCCCCGGCGCTCCCCCAGCCGGTGGCCTCCGGCTCCCAGATCGTCCCCCTCTCCCACGTGGTGCCCAGTTCTCAGCCTGGCCAGGCCCTGCCCGTGACGTCGCCTCCCCCGGCTGCCACCCCGCTCCTCCAGGGCTCTCCCCTGCTGTCCTTCCCTGCCCTCACCTCGCCCATCCCGGGGCCAGCTCAGGCTGCCCCGGTGCCAGCCGTGGTCCACGTCCCCGCCCCGCCCCTGATCCCCATCTCCCAGGTCTCGCCCCCCTCCCAAGTGGTGCCCCTGTGCCAGCCGGCCCCAGGCACCCCGGTGCTGTCCCCTCCCCAGACGGTGCCGCTCTCACCCACCCAGGTCTACTCAGTGCCCCAGGGGGCCCCCGCCCCGCAGCTGCTGTCGGTGCCCCAGGGCTCCCAGCTCCTCTCGCTCCCGCAAGTGGTGCCCACGTCGCAGGTGGTGACGCTGCAGCAGGGGGTGGGGCCGATCCAGATCCTGGCCAGCGCCACCCCGCTCAAGGTGGGGGCTCCGCAGGCGGCCGGCGGGGCCGTGGGGCAGAGCAACGTGCACCTCATCAATGCCAACGTGGGCGTGACCACGCTGCAGCTGCCTGCCGGCGCGCCAGGTACGGGCGGGGGGGGGAGGGAGGGGCTGGCTGCGTTTGCCCTGGCCGGGGGGGGCGCAGCTGGAATGACTGGGGGAGGATTGGGGCCCGGGCCAGGTGGATTTGGGGGCTGTGTGGGCTGGGGGGCCCCTGGCCCACAGGTCGGGGTGGGGGGAGGTCAGAGAAGTTCTAGAGGAAGGACCTGAGGGCTGGGGAGAGGCTGGGGGGAGGGGGTGTGGACCCGGGCCCATGGGGAGACTATTTTGGAGCACCGATGAAGCAGAGGGAGTCCTGGGGCTGTGGGTGTTTGAGGGGGGGAAGGGCGCTGAACCCTAGGACAAGGTTCCAGGGGGTTGGGGGAGTCCCTGAGTCCTTCCACCAAGACGCCATGTCTCTCCAAGCTCTGCTCCAGCGCGGGTCCGGGTACAGGACTGGCTGTGTGTGCGGGGGCGGGGGGGTGTCTCTGGCCTGGGGGCTCGCTAGCTGGGGCTCAGGGGAGGGTCAGGCTGGCCCCTTTTAGCCTGAGACACGGAGAGCAGGAGGGGCTGACCCAAGTCCCCCAGCAGGTTGGTGGCAGAAGTGGGAATAGAACCCAGGAGTCCTGGCTCCCAGCCCCTCCTGCTCTAGTCAGGACTCCTGGGTTCTGTTCCCAGTTCTGGGAGGAGAGTGGGGTCTAGTAGTTAGAGCAGGGGGTGCGAGCCAGGACTCCTGGGTTCTCGTGCCACCTCTGCTGATGACTTGCTGGGTGCCCATGGGCTAGTCCTTTCCGCTCTGTTCCCCTCAGCAGTACAAGGGACGATGACACTCACCCATCTGAGGCCTGTGGGTTCCCCCTGCCCCCCTCTTCTCCCCTCTGCAGGGAACTTCCTCCTGACGAACCCAGTGCCGGGTGGCGGCACCATCCTCACCGGCATGACGCTCCAGCAGGGCAAGCTCATCCTGACTGCCACCTTCCCGGCCACCATGCTCATGTCCCCGGTGCTCTCCGCCCCCGCTGGCAGCCTGGCCCTGCCCATCAAGCAAGAAACGGCGCCTCTAACAGCCACCAGCGCCCCCATCCCAGGGCCCGTGAACTCCGAGGGTGCCGGGGTGGGCCAGCCGGCCTTGGCTTTTGGGGCGGACGGTGTGGCTGGCCGCCAGCCTGGCATCCTCTCGAACTTCCCCCAGGAGGGCCTGGTGCTGTCCCCGCTGCCTCAGCCGGCAGCGTGGCCCGGCTCGGCGGGCATGGAGATGCAAGCGGTTGGCACCGAGGGGCTCTTCGAGATGGAGAAGGGGGCGGTGGAGGTGCTGGACGGCACGGAGCCGAGTGGCCTCCTGCTGCCCGAGGGCGAGGGGCTGCTGCTGGGCAGTTCAGGCAGCGACCCCCTGGATCCCGAGGGCCTCGACTCGGACGAGAAGGTGCTGACCCAGCTGCAGTCGGTGCCGGTGGAGGAGCCCCTGGACTTGTAAGAGGCTCGGCGGGGGGAGGGGGGAGCACGGGATGGGACCAGGGAGCCGCCTCCTGGGGGGCCAGGTCTTGGCCCCTCCATGCCTTCGCTGCCCCCAGTGCATCAGATCCAAACTCTCAGACATCTGTAGATCCCCGAGCCCTCGCCCCGGATCCTGCTGCCAGGGGGCCCTGACGCTGCGGGTGCCTGAAAGGCTCTGGGCAGTTGGGAGGTGCCGGATCCGAGGCTGCATCTGGGGGGGGCCCATGACCAAACACTACAATTCCAAACTTCGGGGTGGGGGGAAGGGAGTCTGGCTCTTGCCAGGCAAGCTCCTAGGCCCTCAGGAAGGGGGTGTCAGCTGTTGTGGCTTAGAGGGGGCAGGACAAAAGCAGGCATTAATGGGCTTTGAGGTAATGAGCTGCTCCCTTCTCCCCCTGCTCCCCCCCCCCCCCTTTCCTAGAAACACTAAGTGTCTTCCCAGAGCAGGGTGTGGGAGCCGTGCAGCGCAGCGGGGTCTTGGTGCTAAGGGAACGGGGTTTCTGGGGCAGCTGCTGATCAGACCCCAGGTCCCATCGGTCGCTGCGGGAACCACTGACTGTTTTCTGGTGGAGGAAAATTCTGGGCCTGGCTCCCTGTTCCCCTGTCCTGCCCTGGGGTTCCCCATAGTCTGTCCCCGCCACGCCCCTGGTGGGGCAGCGAATAGCCACAGTGCCGTGTGCTCCGGCCACACCCCCAATCCGCCCTCTATACCAGGAGCAGGGATAAGAACCCTTATGCCAGCTCCCCTTGTGCATGGGGGGGGGATTATTGGGGCCATTTCTGCCCCGGGTAGGCTGCCAGAATGGCACTGATGGGGCTGCATGTGAATCTTACGAATGAAACCCAAAGTCATCCCTAGTTACTCCCCCTGAATTTCATGGGTCCCCCACCTTTCACTCCTAGACACTACAAACCAACTCACCTGACTTCTTATTTTTTACATGAAAGAATTTTTATATATATAAAAATATATATTTTTAGAAGGAGCAAATCCTGCTGCGTGATTCCAGCGTGCCCGGGACCGTCACCCCGGTGCGCCTCGCCCCAGCTGTATTTAATGGTCTCACTGGTTTTTGAATCACTCTTCCAGCAGGAGGATAAACACCCCACGAGCTGAATCTTTTATATTAAAAAATAAAGTGCATTTAACTTTTGTAAACATTCACTACGTTGGAGCGGTGGCCGCTCCTGTCATGGCCAGCTGAGGCCATATTTCCCGCCAGCCTGGTGGGGTTTGTTCGAGCGGGTATGTTGGACTGGTTGAAGGCTTTAGACTCCCTCAAATCTCACTACGGAGCTACCGGAGAGCCATTTTGGTACGGGGTCCTCTCTACACAGGATGCCTGGGCCCAGATCTACCATGGGACAGGATCCCTCCCCCTGTGGGACAACCAGGTTCTCGATCTGCAGCAGAATGGGACTCCTGTGTCCCAGATCCACACCAAACCAGATCCCAGCCTGATGGAGTAATCCGGTTCTAAATCTGTGCCAGGCTGGGATTTCTGCTCCATGGAGTAACTGGGTTCTGGATCCACACTGGAGTGGGATCTGTCTGCCACCATGGAGTACCCAGTTTCTAGACCTACAGTGGGATAGAAGCTCTCCCCTGCCATGGAGCTACTGGATTCTAGATCCATGTCTCAATGAGAACCCTGCCTCATGGAGTAGCCAGTTTCTTGATCCCTGGCAATATGGGAACCCCCCGCAAGGAAACCACCAGGTTCTTGAGCCACACTGGAACTGGATCCTCAACAGTGCAACTGGAACCACATCAGAATGGGTTCCCACCCCTTGGAGCTTCCAGGGTTCTAGATCATCATCTGAATGGGTTCCAGGTTCTAGATCCACACTGGAATGGGTTCCCACCCCTTGGAGCAGCTGGCTTCTCTTGGACCCACCTCGGAACAAGCTGCTCTTTGTGGTTTTTCAGCCTTCGTTGTCATCTGGGACCGGCTCCCCTGTCGTCCTCTCTTCTTCCCCGGTTCCTCATCCTCAAAATCCAGAGCTTCCATTGTGACTCCTCAAAGTTGTCCCCACCATGGCACCCATGGGCTCCTCCGGCACCCTGGTCTCCCATGAGCCTGTTGGGTTTCTCTGGCTGTCCAAGATGAACAAACCGGGGGGCGGGGTCAGCTCTGTCTGGCGAGCCAGCGGTGTGGCACCGGTGGTTCCTTCCCTCCACCCGTGCACCATGGTTATCTGCGGAGGGACCCAGACTGGACACTTGAATCTTGGGGCACTGCCTCCTGTCCCACCCTCCTCTCACCAGGTACTAGTGCATCTCACGATTATTATTATGTTCACCATTTTGCTACAATTTTTTTTTTGTGAGGAACAATCATTTCTACCCGATATTCTTTTTTTTAAGAAGCTTCTGTCCTCGTCATCCCTGTACACTATTACTGTTGGTTGTTGTTTTTTTTTAACATAGCGCTCTGTGTGTGTGTGTCTGTCTGTCCGTCCATCCATCCTGGTACTGTATGAAATTTGTATATCCATAAATATATATTCTATATAACACAGCCTGCTGCTGGCTGGGGCTGGGAGCGTGGTGGGTGGGGGTGGGGGGGTGCCCGGGAAACTGGCAGCAGCTGCCCCCTTGGGTCCACTGCCACGTGTGACCTCTCCCAGCAGGCCAGTGCTCAAGGGTGGCCAGGCTGAGGATTGTCTCCATGGGGAGGGGTACCAGCAGGCCTGGTCCCTCGGTAACCCCCACCCTACCTCATGGCCTCCATCTTGTAATCCTGGCCATTAGCCCCCAGCTTGAGTGGCACCAAGAGACCTGGCCTCTTGCCCCCTGGCTGTGAGCTTCACCATCACACCTTGGTCCCACGTCACCAGCCTGCTCTGTCACCTGGGCCGCGTTGCCCGTGCCTCACCCTGTTTGCTGAGCTGGTTGGGAGTTGCGGGGCTTCATGTGGGGAAGGTGATGGAGAGGCTGGCCCCGGAGCCTGTGGCCCTAAATGCGTATGTAGCCTCCTGGGCTGGGATGCTCACTCTGGCTAGAGCATTTGGGTCCCCCCTTGCCCAGCACTGAGCCAACTGGCCCCACCCCAACTGGATCTGCACCCGGTGGGCAGCGTTGCTGGGTGCCAGGGGCTGGTTTTGTTACTGCACAGAGAACTTCTGCTGAGACTCACCCAGGTGTGTGTGTGTGAGGGGGATCCGCATGGGGGAAGCAAGGCCGAGTACTGCAGGCCTGGCTGGGCAGGGGGGAGATGCGCTTGCTGCCTCTGAGTGGCCCGGAGGTGAGCACAGCCTACTTGGTGTGGGGAGGCACATTACGGTAGCACCTCGGAGCGCCGGGTGTGGAGCAGGTCCACCCCCATCGCGCTAGGCGCTGTACAAACACCAGAGCCGACGCTTCCGGCCCCAGAGCACCGACTCGGTAAATCCGAGGGCGTGTGCGGTTCTTGGACTCTCTCGCCTCTTTGTCACCTTCCTCCCGCTGCTCCACCTCGGCTGACCACGTGCCTAGCACGCTAGGCCAGGACTTGGGAGGGCTGGTTTGAAGGCCCTGCTCTGGACTCCCTGTGTGACCTTGGACCCAGCTCCTCAAAGGTGCCTAACTCCCATGGGCGTGGTCCCCAGTGCTACTGCAGCAGCCGGAGAGTCTGGGAGAGTTTTGACCAACCTATGCCCTGCTCCCAGATCAGCTCCGCCCTGGACTTCCAGGATAAAATCGTCCATCGGTTGTGCCCCATTCTCCCCCCAGTGCTGTTCGTTAGCCCTGCTCGACACGTGGGCCTTTGCCCCCCAACTCCCGGGGGACTCCCTGCTTTGGTCTCCTCCCGCACTGGGGTGAGACGCTGCCGCTGGAGGGTTTGCGGGATGAACTGGGTGGGTCCAGTTTGTCTCTATTCTAATTGGCTGGGAAAACCACCGCCCCAAAGGCCAAGCTGGCTGTGGCCCTGCTGCCAACGTTGACACAAGCCCTATGTTCCCGGGGGTGGGGGGGAGCTGGATGTGGGGGCTGCTGAGATCCCTCTAGCCCAGCGTTGGCCTGAGGCAATGGATGGAGGCCAAGATTGTGTCCCCTGTGTTTTCTGTCCAAACGCTGGTCCCCTGGGTGCCAGCTAGCGGGTGACACCCCCAGGTGGGATGAAACTGCCGGCTGCCTGGCTAGCACAGAGGAGAGGAGGGGAGGGGGGTAATGGGAAGGAGGGCACAGAGGAGGGGGGTGCAGAGGGGAGCAGGCTGGGGGGCACCAGGAGAGGGGTGCAGAGGGCTGAGATCCATGCACTGTGCCCTCCTGGCAGTGAAGGGGGGAACCCCCAGGGCCAGGGTCCGCAGGGTACTGCTGGTCCCGTGGCTCCACACTGGGGCGGCACAGCACCCAGAGGGTTTCCTCAGTCAAAGGGCAGAGGGCACCTGGTGCAGGGGCATAGGGCTGGGGCAGGCCTCACATCCCTCCCATGGGTGTCATCAGCACCTGGCCCTGCTGTGCCCAGCACTACCCTCCTGCCCCTCAGGGCTGCCTCTTGCTGCATAGGCCCCAGCTGGGATCATGCCAGCCCAGCATGGCCCAGCCAAGGGGCTCACAGCACTTCAGCAGGGGGGGGCTGGGGGCCAGGACTCCTGGGTTCTCTCCCCAGCTCTAGGAGGGGAGCAGGCTCTCCCAGACTCCTGTCCGACCTCTTCACTTCACTTCACGCCCACTTCAGTTTCTCAAGCCAGGACGCACAGGCTCCTCTTCTCAGCCAGAGCAGACGGGCCGTGGGCCTGGTGAGTGCTGTCAGCTCCGTGGGCCCCTGAGCCCTGCCGGGGACCTGGGTGAGAGCTGGGCAGCTGGGGCCTGAAATGCCTGAGTGACCCCTGCCCCCCGCCCTGCCCCCCGGCTGCACCCTCTAACTGTTGCCCTGAGTCTAGGTTTAAATGGGACCCTTGGCCCCCCTACTCCCCCATCCTGGGGTCACGGGTGCTGCCCCTGCCAGGCCTGGTCGGGCTGGCTTATGGGATGTGGGCACTGGGAACTGAACTCACACACACACTGCACAACTTCCCCCCACTGCATGACACCCTCCCACACCCCCTCCCATGCACAACCCCCGCACCACACAACACACACAAGATGCCCTCCACACACACCGCATGACACCTGCCAACACACCCCTACCCACCCCCAATACCCCATCCACATACACTGTTACCCCCAACACATACACCGCACAACCCCCCACAGTACCCCCTCCACACACACCGCATGACACCCCCCACAATACCCCCTCCACACACACCGCATGACACCCCCCCACACCACGACACCCCCACAATACCCCCTCCACACACATCGTATGCCACCCTTTGCACAATCCCCCCACGTACACACACTCACCACACAACCACTACAGTTCATGATCCCCTACATGGTAACTCCCAAACACACAACCCCCAGGCACACACACGGCATGACCCCCACACACACCCACCTCACAACCCCCTCGTGCACACACTGCACAACCCATCCCCCAACACTCCTCCACTGCACGACCCCTCCCAGCCCCCCCGCACGCCCACCCAGCCTTGAGCTCCGAATTGGGCTTGAGAACCAGCCAACTGCTCCCCAGCCCTGCCCCCCTGCACCTCCTGATCCACCCCAGGTAGCCCCCTTCCCGCGAGTCCCCCATCACCTCTCTACTGAGCTGCCCCCACTCTGGGCTCAGGCCCCTGGCTTAAGTTACAGGCCATGTGAAACCCAGGGCAATCAGCCCGCAGTCTGGGACTCTTGAAACCGGGGTGTGTGTGTGTCATGTATGGGTGGGTACCTGTGTTTTGTGGTGCGGGGGGGTTGTGGGTCCTTGGGTCTGTGTTGTGCGTTTCTTACAGGGGTGTGTGTGGAGTCGCAGGGATTGTGGGTACTTGAGTGTGTGTTTTGTGGGGGGTAGCTGCTGTGGGGATGTTGTATGCGATGGGGTGTACGGTGGGTGTGCATGTGTTGTGAGTACTAGAGTTTGTGGTGCATGTGTGTCGTGTGGGATGCATGTGTCGTAGTCCCATGGGGTTGGGTGTTGTCCATACACAATGGCGTATTCTGAGTGGGGGTGCGTATTGGGCTCTGTCTGGGCCCTGGATTTCATGCTGTGTTCTGTGAATGTGGGGTGTGTGTGTTGTGTTGTGCAAGTTGTGGAGGGTGGGTTTGCAGGTGCCTGTGTTGGGAGGGGGCTGTATGAGTTGTGTAGATGTTCGGGCATATTGTGCTGTGTTATGTGTGGGCGCGCTGTGAGTGCACAAGTGTTTGTCTTGCCATTGTGGGTGCCTGTGATGTGTAGGGGCTGTGTGGGTTGGGTGGAGGTGGGGCTGAGAGGTGTATGGGGGATATTTTGGGTGTATGCTCTGTGTTAATTGTATGGAGGTGCGTGCACTGTGTGAGAGTTGTGTAGAGGGCTGTTTTGAGTGTGCACTCTGTGGCTGTGTACCTGTTGTGTGGGTCTGTGTAAGGTGGGGGAGCATGCAGTGTGCATGTTGTGTGTGTGTATAGGGAATGTTGTGGGGTGTGTGCACTAAGTGCACGTGGGAGGGTGTTGTGGGGTGGGGGGTGTTGTGAGGTGTGCACATTTTGTGCGTGTGGGGGGGTATTGTGGAATTGTGTGTTGTGCGCATGTGGGAGTATGGGCAGGTACATATTCTGTGCGTGGGGTATAAATTATGTGTGGGTTGTGCGGGGGTGCGCATTGGCTGGGATGGTGCCGTGTGTGTGATATGAACCCCCCTGCCCCATACACCTGGCAGTGCCCTGCACCCACAGCGCCTGGGGCCACAGCAGGGTGGGCGCGTGCCCCTGGTGGCTCAGCCTGGCAGAGGCGGGCGGGGCTGGGAGCTGCCCATCATGCCCCTGTCCCAGCTGTGGACTGGCCCTGGCCCTCGCGCCCACACCCGGGCTGTGCCCATCCTTGGATCCCAAAACATCACCAGCGGCTCCGGTTCGTTTCAATACGGTACGTTACACGCAGCGCCTCCTTGTGGCTGCCTAGCGCAATACAGCTGAACATCCCATTCCATCTCCCTTCCTACCACGTACGCTATTCACACCATCACGCTGTCTGTGCCGTTCACGGCGGCTCAGGCTGTCACGTCTCTCTGAATCCTGCTGGTTTTCTAGTTACGTGACCCAAACGCGGAACCATTCGGCCACCAGGCTGGCCGGCCGTTGCAGCAATGGGCTGCGGTTGGTTTGGAAACCTTGAGGAATCGTCTCCTTGTCCTGCAGCCGCCGTTGGCAGAGTTTGCTCTGCCGATAGCTCTTGCTGAGGAACTAACTGTCAGTGTTGACGGTGTCCGTTGACGTCTCCACTGTCGGTCTCGATCACCTCTGACCTGGGCGCTGAATTCCTTTTCTTTATGGCAGCTGGAGGCATCCATCCTTCTTCTCTACCCAACTGGACATGAACACGCTCACCAGGTTCTAGAGCGGGCAGTTCTCTGAGTGACGTCTGTTAAAAAAGTGTTCGTGAGCTCTTTTAGCCTTTTTATGCGCTTTGGCTACTCTCCACATGCCTGGCCACTTTGAAGACTGGAAAAGAACCTAAGCTGGAACAGTAGCTCTGAGTTGTCTTCCCATCAGGAGTTGTGCTGGACTGGATCCAGTAGCTGCTGTTGGTGTTGATCTGTAACGCAGAAGAGTGAGGAATGGATCGTCCTGCAGTAGGATTTCCTTGGCTGTCTGTCCAGCTCTCTCAGCCTCTCCATCGCTTGTGGGTAATGTGGGCTGCTGGGAATATGATTAAAATCATATTTCATGTGGAATGATGTACATTCTGCTGCACCACTTTGTGGTTCATTGTCTGTGACGTTCCCCTCTGGGGTTATCTGGACCAGTGATCTGCTAGGCTACTCCAATCCTTGACTCCGGGAGCCAGCCTGACCCTGCTCTGCTGTGAGAACCCCCACTCCTGGGCTGTTCACGCACAGCCTCTGGCATGTAAGCTGCTCCCAGCTACTTGCAAGCGAATGACACTAACCAATATCTCCAGTCCCAGACACAACCCTGGGAACCTCCATCTTGCAGGGTCCAGTTATGCCTGTTGGACGCTGGAAGTTTATATAAGTTCATCAACTTAACAAAGAAATTGATATGTACCAGGCCTGTTCTCCTAAGGGGAGCCTCTGACACACTGCAAACCAAACACACTGCTTCAGGTAGAATAAACACACAGATTTATTAGCTGTAGAGATAGATTTTAAGTGATTATAAGTCAAAGCATAACAAGTCAGATTTGGTCAAATGAAATAAAAGCAAAACGCATTCTAAGCTAATCTTAACACTTTCAATGTCCTTACAAACTTAAAAAGAAAAGGAGTACTTGTGGCACCTTAGAGACTAAATAAATTGGTTAGTCTCTAAGGTGCCACAAGTACTCCTTTTCTTTTTGCGAATACAGACTAACACGGCTGTTCCTCTGAAACCTTACAAACTTAGATGCTTCTCACCACAGGCTGGCTGGTTGCCCTTCCGTCAGGCTCTCCCCTTTGATCAGTGCGACAGTCACTTGGTGGTGGTGGTGTCTGTAGATGTGGATGGAAGAGAGAGCATGGCAAACGTCTCTCCCTTTTATCATGCCCTTTCTTTCCTCTTGGCTTCCCCCCCGCCCTTCAGAGTCAGGTGACTCCCTTGAGGGTCTAATAGATTCTTTTGTTGCTGCCTAAGCCAGTGTCCATTGTTCCTGTGAGGCTGGGCTGGGTTTGTCCCATCCATGCCCTGACGAGGTGTGAACTACCTCTCTGCTCTTGGAGAGTTTTTGTCTGGGCTTGCTTTAAGCCATGAGGATACATTTTCAGCCTCATAACTATATACATGGAAGTTATAACCTATAACCTCACTATAACATTACTGTAACAATTACTATAACATCACTATAACAACCATGCTCAGTGCATTATGAGCCTTCTGAAGACACCCGACATGACTAACTTTGCATTGAATACCACACAATCATTTTATAAAGATGAACAGGGGAGTGCTGGGTGTTCCCCCGAGGTACAGAGCGTCACATTGTCCATCGCTAGTTGTGAATATCAAAGGGAGCGAATGAGCACGTCAGTTTCTTGATAATACTGCGACATGTTACGTCTTCTCTCTCTATACCTGGAAAAACAGCCCACAACAACCACAAAATGCTATCCTCTAAATTTACATAAATCTGCAGCTAATCTCTTCCCTGCTCTGTCTGGTAGAGGTGTCTGTACACTGTATGGCTCAGCATTGTCTCTTACATTGATTTGTACTAGATCTCCTTTCAAAAGCCCAATATCATCAAATCCTCTGTCGAGTTCTTCCACCCTCCTCAGAAGGCCCATCATGGCCGCCAAGCTGTGATCCCCCTCTGAACACCAAGTTTTTGCCCCTGTAAGTTGTTTCTGTGGTGAACTGGCCCCTGCAGTTCAGAGCTGTGTCAGGTGACTTCACCTCTGGGAGGAGTCAAAGGTGATTTTAAGTCCCTTCTGAGAGGACTGTGAGGTCAGACCCTTGGATGCTGGGCTGTGGGGCGGGTGGAGCCCCTCTCCAGCCAGGTATTGGGTGGCCCATGTGTGCAAATTGTGGGTGCGGCGCAAATTCCCCTTGCCCAGGGTCAGCTGAGCCAGGGAGAAGGTATGAGCTGAGCCAGGCCATCCACCCCAGCTGTGCCCTACTGCTCCTGGGGGCTGGGATGGGGCAACGAGGGACCCTGCCCCATGTGGGGATGGGCTAGAAGGATGGACACTGCTGGGGCATCTCCATCGCCGCTGGGTGCAGCTCTGGGGGACGGCTATTTTAGTGCGAGCCCCAGAAACTCGCTTCTCCCAGGGCTGACCCACCCCACTGGCTTTTCCTGCTCCCTGTCCCAAGATCCCTATTCCAGCCCAGCCCCTTGCACATCCCCATGCTCCACGGGGAATGACACCAGCAGCCCCGCCCGCCCATCACATGGATCCAACCAAGTGCCCTTGGGGGCCCCCTGCCCTTGCTCGCCATGGCTTGGGGCCTGCTGTTTGGCCCCAGGAGCATTGTACCAGTGCAGAGCAGGGGCTGGAGGCCGGTGGATCAAAAGGCGGGGGGGGGGGGGGGGGCATCTGACACCTACAAGACATAATGTGAGGGGCAGGGCCATGGGCCTTGCTGTGTGGGCACTGGCAGGGTGAGGGTGTGCCAGGCTGCTGCATAGCGAGGTGCTAGGGGATTATACAAATGGGGGTGAGGCAGGGAGGAGAATCGGGGTGTCAAAGCAGCACCCCCATAACCATGTACAGGTGGCTCAGGGAGGATTTTCAGCTCACCCAGCTCTTCACTAGAGTTACAAATGCTGCACGCAAGCATTAACCGTCCTCCACACACCCCCAAGAGGCAGGCAGACTTTGGCCTCCCCCTTTTCACAGTTAGGGAAACTGAGGCAGAGAGCTGGCTGCCTGCTTTGAAAGGAAGGGCCCACCGACCAGGGGGTGCTGATGGGGCAGACGTGTGCTCCAGCGCCACTTGCTGGTTAGACTAGAGGCAAACCTTGTTTGGGTCCCTCTGTTAACAGGCGGTCACATCCCTGTGCTGGTACTGGATTTTATTAGGTGTTTTGCAGTAGCACCTAGAGGTCCGCATCCAAGATCAGGGCCCCATCGCGCCGGGCGCTGCCTAGACACACAGTGACTGAGATATGGGGCCCCTTCGGCCGGGCACTGCCCAGATACAGGTTGAGAGAGTGTCCCTGCTCCAAACAGCTTAAACTAATTAGACAAAGGATGGGTGGGGAAACTGAGGCACAGAGACGGGAAGGATTTTGGTCAAGGTCACCCAGCAGGCCAGTGGTACATCCCGGAACAGAACCTAGCTCTCCTGAGTCCTGGTGCATGGCCCACACGCCCTCTCCATACTGGCAGATTCCCGGCCTGGGAAAACTGTCCTGGGGTGACCAGTGCAACTTTTCTGATGGGGAGGAAACTCAGTGTATTTAGATTATCCAAGGGCAGTTCAGTGGTGCCTTAATCCTGGTCTTTCAGCACTTGCCTGAGGACACACCTGAGAGCACAGGGTTCTCCAATCCAGCAGACAAAGAGAGAGCGCCATCTCGTGACTGCAGCTGAAGTGAGATAAATTCAGACTGGAAATAAGGTGCCAGCATGTAACAGGGATGAGAAATAACGACTGATGCAGGGGTGAGGGTCTTTAAATGAAGACTGGATGTTGTCCTAGGAAAGCTAGCTCAACCACAAGCTATGGGCTGGAGGCCAGAATCACTGGGGGGGCAGGGGAGGGGTCAGAGTGGATGATCAGAATGGTTCCTTCTGGCCTCATTGTGTCTGAAAACCCGTCACGCTTGTCCCCAAAGCTCCTGACGTGCCCAGATCCTAACAGAACATAAAAATGGCCATACTTGGTCAGACAAGGGTCTATCTAGCCCAGTGTCCTGTCTTCCGACAGTGGCCAGTGCCAGGTGCCCCAGAGGGAATGAACAGAACAGGTCATCATCAAGTGATCCGTCCCCTGTCGCCCCTTCCCAGCTTCTGAGTCAGAGGCTAGGGACACCCAGAGCATGGAGTTGCGTCCCTGACCTCCTTGGCTACCAGCCATTGATGGACCCATCCTACAGGAGTTTCTCTCATTCTTTTTTTAACCCTGTTATAGTTTTGGCCGTCACAACATCTCCTGGCAGTGAGTTCCACAGGTTGCCTGTGCATTGTGTGAAGAAATACTTCCTTTTGTTTTAACCCTGCTGCCGACTAATTTCCTTGGGTGACCCCTAGTTCTTGTCACTTCCTTTTGTCACTTTCTCCGCGCCAGTCAAGACTTTACAGACCTCCGTCATACCCTCAGGCATCTCTTTTCCAAGATGATCAGTCCCAGGCTTTCTAATCTCTCCTCACATGGAAGCTGTTTCATCCCCTTGATCATCTGCATTGCCCTTCTTTGAACCTTTTCCAATTCCAATATCTCTTTTTTGAGCTAGAACAACCAGAACTGCCCACAGTATTCAGGGTGTGGACGTACCATGGATTTATATAGTGGTGTTATGATATTTTCTGTCTTATTATCTATCCCTTTCCTAATGGTTCCCAGCATTCTGTTCGCTTTTTTGACTGCCGCTGCACGGTGAGTGGCTATTTTCAAAGAACTATCCACAGTGACCCCAAGATCTCTTTCTTGAGTGGGAACAGGTCATTTAGACCCCATCATTTTGTATGTATAGTTGGGATTATATGCATTACTTTGCATTTCTCAACACTGAATTTCATCTGCCATTAGCTACCCTCCAGTCATCTGCTTCAAAGGCTCTTTTAAGCAATAGATTACATACCACAGTTAGTAGTTCTGCAGATTCATATTTGAGTTCCTCCAGAACTCTTGAGTGAATACCATCTAGTCCTGGTGACTTACTACTGTTTAATTTACCAATTTGTTCCAAAAACCTCCTCTACTGACATCTCAATCTGGGATCGCTCCTCAGATTTGTCACCAAAAAAGAACGGCTCAGGTGTGGGAATCTCCCTCACATCCCCAGCGGTAAGGACTGATGCAAGGAATTCATTTCACTTCTCTGCAACACCCTTGTCTTCCTTGAGTGCTCCTTTAGCATCTCCATTGTTCATTGGCCCCGTTGATTGTCTGGCAGGCTTCCTGCTTCTGATGTACCGAAATAGTTTTTTTTGCTGTTAGTTTTTGAGTCTTTTGCTCTTCCAATTATGCTGCGTGCAGCAGGGGGCGCAGGGCTGGTGTGTTTGGCGGCTGGCTAGGGGAAAGCACCTCCAGGAATTTGCATTGTAACCTGTGTGCGGAGCCCCGGGATGCCCAGTCAGCCATGAATGGCTCTTGCCAACAGCTTGCAGCATGCTAATCAACTAATTACCCTTCCTCAGCCTGGAGATGGGAAACTGAGGGTTGGGGACATTCATCTCCCAGCTTTTTAGGGTTCCTTGTGCCAGGACTTTCCCTTGTTTGCGCCTCCTCCCCCTACAGATCTCTCCCCAACCCCCTCAGTGGATCTTGGGTGATGCCAGGAGGGCAAAGGGCACCCAAGTTTTGCACCATTAAATGTGCCATCCTCCCAGGTGAGCCTCTGCAGCATGAATCTCCCCCTGCAAGAGCCAGGCTGGAGGGGCTCAGCTGGACCCTCTACTCTTTGGGCCATGGGAACGGAGCCAAATCAACGCCTGAAACTTGAAGTTAACCATGGGGACATGGTCAGCGCTGCCTCCAAGGCATGGCCCCCATCCCCACGGGCTGGCTCCTACAGCCTCCTCTGCAGTGGGGCCTAGGCAGCCTCCACGGAACAGGGCTCCACGGTGCTCATATCACAGCGCCTTTGGGGGCAGGGGGGTCGCCATCTGCGGGACTCGAGCCTGGCACCTCGGGAATTAAAAGCAGCAGCTGAGGCTGGAGCAGAGTGTTCACGGGACAGTGTCAGTAGGGCTGCGGCCTGGCCAAATTCCATCCCCTGCTTTCCAGCAGAACCCCACCCGTTGCGGCACATCTGGGGCTCTAGTCAGGGCCGGGGGGCTGTGATTACCACCCAGAAGCACCCACATCACTCAGGGTCTCCTAGCAGGCTACGTTTCTACAGGGTTCCTCTTGCCCACAGGTCCCGCTTCACCCCTCGCCATTCCCTGGACTCTGGCTGGCTGCAGCCGGAAGGGTGGGAGAAGGGGACTCATACCTTCCCGCCTCCCATGGTGCTCTGGTTACCGAGGGGGTCAACCCATTAAAACTCAGGGCAGAGGAACCCCTCAGTCGCGTGGAAATAACCCCCCAGGGCAGCCTCGGCTCACGTCTCCATGCGGCAGGTCCTAAATTCCAGGAGCAGCTGGTCTGGATCAGGCCTGGCAGAGGAGCAGAGTAGGGGGTAGGAAACTTCCCCCTGCAGTTTGCCTGCAACAGGCAGAGGTGAGAAACATCAGGGGGTGGAAGGCGCTGGGGTTAAGGATCTCTTCCGTCTGAGCTGGATCCACTTGGCACAGGCCCTGGCTAGCGGGCAGAGAGAGCAGGGCGGGAATTCTGGCCCGGGCCAGCTGCCAGCCCCACCTCTGCGTAGCCTCGGCCCTCCTGGAAACCACCTGTGGGACCGGTGTGACAGCATCACTCACCAGGCAGATGGAGGGACACCACCATCACCGCTGCGCCAGCCGAGGACAGGGAGCACCAGAGCCAGGCCAGCTGGGGCGGTGGCAGCCCCAAGGAAGCAGCCGCCATGGCATTAGCTGCTCGGATGGGAGCTGGCCACGGCAGACCCAGGCTGTAGCGGTGATCCAGTTGGTGCTGCTAGGGAGCGCTGAGGTGTGAGCGAGCGCCAGAGACCTCCCGGTCACTGCAGAGCCTGCAGGTGGGGGTGTTAGCCCTGTTCTAGCGGCCAAGGCCCCAGGGCTCAAAGGACTGATTTCAATGGGAGTCAGGCATCAGGAACCAGGGCTTGGGGCAGTCAGGCCTAGCGGTCACAGCAGGAGTTGGGAAATGGACCCAAGGCTCAGACCCAGAGCCAGAAGCCGGAGGCCACAGCCAAAAGAGCCAGGAATCAGAAGCAGGGTACCTGGAGCGTGTTTTCCAGGTTTCCTTCACAGCCGTAAGAGCTAGAGACTCATGCGAGATTCTGGAAGACAACGAAGCAGCGTGAGTGCACCCTCCAACCAGTCCATCATGTGTCCCCATAGGGGCGTGTGCCCCACACTTTGGGAAACCCTTATCTAAAATATCCCCTTCTGATAGCTCAGTGGCTGAACAAAGGAAGAGTTTTCAGCCCAACCACAACCCCTGCTGCTCTTCCTGCTTTGAATAAACCCAGGAGGAGTGGTGAATGGGGCTGCCCCAGGGGGGTCTGAGACCTCGGACCGGAGCCAGGAAACCCACAAATGAGCTTTATTCTAAAACCAATAAATAAATAAATACATACATACATATAACAGCTGTCAAACTATTCAAGCAACGAACAGAATCCAATACAAGTCTGGCCTGAACCAGTGGAGGACGGTTTGGTTTTCTTTTGGGGGGAGGGGGGGGCCTCTAATCCTCCATTTAACCACGGCTACCCTTATGCCCAAGCAACCCTCCCTTAGCTGGTTGGACAGGGCAGTTTGGAACTGACCAGACCTATGGGCAGCCCGGGGTCGGTGCTCTCTGATCGGCACAGTGGTGTAGTTATGGCGGAAAACTATCAGAATAAATAGGATTTTAATTAAAAACATGAGCCACTCCGCCACACCCACACACAATTTCTCCTTGCCAGAGCTAAAACAAGAGGCCAGTCTACAAACCCCAAAGCCTTGTCTCCCAACGGCAACACGCACGCTGTAGCCCCTGCCTGTTCCCAAGCACCCTCGTTCATTTCAATGGAGCAGCAAGTGTCTCCAAAGGAAGGAAGAGGTGCCACATCAGGGGATGGGGGCCCCAGCACGCTGGGTGGGAGGGGCCCTGCACTGCCCTTCGTCACACAGACTCCAGGGCTGGGTGTGGGAGCGAGCAGGGCGGGGCTGGCGGTCCCAGGTCCCGGGAACCGAGGGATTTCTCGGCCAGCAGCAAATGAAATGGCTTAGGAGCCTCCATCTCCTCCTCCTCCTCTCCCCCGCTGGAGAAGTCCTGCTTCACGATGCGGTTGTTCAGCCTGCTGAACCTCCGGGCCTTGACACTGGAAGAAAGAGGTGAAATCCAACCAGATGGCTCTCTGCGCCCGTTTCCTCTATGGGCTCATCACCATCCGTCCCATGGGCTGTTGGCAAATAACCGCCCGGCCTGATCAATTGCCTTGAGCCTAGAGGTTGATAAAACTCTTCCCATATAGCCCAGGATGGGACAGCCACATGCCACGGACAGCCAGCAGGTGTAATTCAGTGGATAATAAAGGGCATTTGTGGTTGAGAGCCAGGACTCCTGGGTTCTAATCCCACCTATGGTGGGTGATGTAGCAAGTGAGAGGTGGGGCTGGGAGTCAGGACTTCTATCCCCAGCTCTAGGAGGGGAGTGGTGTCTGGTTAGAGCAGGGGGCTGGGAGGGGATTATAGTACTTATTTACATCCCATTTAGGCTTAGTTGGTGCTAAGAATCCAATCCTGTTCCATTTTAGGCTCTCTGCTCATCAGCATCTCTCTGGGGACAGGGGATGGAATTGGAAGCTTTTCATTTCTAGGTCCATGGTGTGAACCCACCAGGCCAGCAGTGGCTGGATCTCACTCTACTGGCTCCTATGTGTAATGAGTTAGGGGAATCTCAACTTCTAGTGGACAACTGTCCATGTGGCAAAATCCGCTCCCCTGGGAGCCCCTGAGGTGACCCATGTGTGGCAGGACTAAGGCAGACTTTAGGGGTAACGGGGTCCCTTGGAAGGTCCCTGGACTGGGACTCGAGTAACCTTTGGCTCTGTCATTGGCCTGCTGGGTGACTGGAGGCAAGTCACTGCACCTTCCTGAGACACTGTCTCCCCTCCCATTGCTGTCCGTTCAGGCTGCAAGCTCTTCAGGGCAGGAGGTGTCTAACTCTGTGCAGTGCCCGGCGTGATGGGACCCTGATCTTGGTCAGTGTGTGTCTGGGCAGCCCCCGGCCCGACAGGGCCCTGACCTCGGTCAATGTGTGTCTGGGCAACCCCCGGCCCGTCGGGGCCCCGATCTTGGTCACTGTGTGTCTGGGCAGCGCCCGGCCCGACGGGGCCCCGATCTCGGTCACTGGGTGTCTGGGCGGCGCCCGGCCCGACGGGGCCCCGATCTCGGTCAATGTGTGTCTGGGCAACCCCCGGCCCGTCGGGGCCCCGATCTCGGTCACTGTGTGTCTGGGCAGCGCCCAGCCCGACGGGGCCCCGATCTCGGTCACTGTGTGTCTGGGCAGCGCCCGGCCCGACGGGGCCCCGATCTCGGTCACTGGGTGTCTGGGCAGCGCCCGGCCCGACGGGGCCCCGATCTCGGTCACTGGGTGTCTGGGCAGCGCCCGGCCCGACGGGGCCCCGATCTCGGTCACTGGGTGTCTGGGCGGCGCCCGGCCCGACGGGGCCCCGATCTCGGTCACTGGGTGTCTGGGCGGCGCCCGGCCCGACGGGGCCCCGATCTCGGTCACTGGGTGTCTGGGCGGCGCCCGGCCCGACGGGGCCCCGATCTCGGTCACTGGGTGTCTGGGCGGCGCCCGGCCCGACGGGGCCCTTATCTCGGTCACTGTGTGTCTGGGCGGCGCCCGGCCCGACGGGGCCCCGATCTCGGTCACTGGGTGTCTGGGCAGCGCCCGGCCCGTCGGGGCCCTGATCTCGGTTGAGACCCATAGATGCTAGTGTAATACAAAGAGCAGCTGCAACATTGGGCCAGAACAGCCCGTGGTGGAAGTTGGCACCTTCCCCAGCAGATCTCCCCCCCACACCAGACTGACTCCCATGGCTCTGATGGGGTTCTCCGAATGCCAGCCTTACCAGTAGGGCCTCCGCTCCTGTTTTGTCATGGTGCGCCACAGCTGTGCCAGCTCCCTGGTGGCCGCGGTGGACGCCATCCCCGGGCAGGCGCTGAGGGGAGAGAGCACCAGGAACTCAGAGTTCTCCCAGCAGCACACGTCTGCCTGGCCTACCAGCGTGGGTTGCCGAGGCAATACCCAGCAGCTGTATACACATTCCACCCGCCTTGCCTTCTCCATGGACACAGATGTTAAACGTTCAGGGGAACGAAACCCAAACAACCTGCTCTCTCCAGCTGGTTGCTATGGACCACAGCTGCGTGCTGAGATCCAGCAGGTCAGTCCCGCCACAAGGGCACTAAAAATATCCAGCCTGGGATTGTGCCAAGGGAAAAGGAGTGGCTGAAAGGTGTTGGTGAAAGGGGGTTGGCGTGCGGCTTCCGTCATGGATGGTAAGGCCTGAAGGGACCGTTCTGACCATCAGGTCTCCAGAGACCCTACCCAGCGGTTTGCACTCTGAGCCGGCTCGAGTTAGAGCAGATCTTTTAGAATGATGTCCCACCTGATGTAAAGACTCCAAATGTGAACCTCCCCAGACCCTGGGCTGGTTGTTGCAGCGGTTAATTCCCCTCCCTTCTTGTTTCTATTCGGAATTTCTCTCACTTCAGTTCCTATCCCTCAGATCTTGCTCTGCCTTTGTCCCCTTGCTCGTAGCAATCTCCTCCCCACAGAGCGGCTGACAGCCCGGGAGCAAGGTCAACTGGGTAAATGAAACCGATCGAGCCATCTCTGAGGCAGGTGTCCCAGATCATGGATCATTCCCGCAGCTCAACCCTCCAGCATCCTGCTGGAAGTGGGAACGCCAGAACTGGCCCCAGCATCCCTGTAATGGTCTCCCTGCCATATACAGAGGTAACTGCCCTCCACCCGTTTCTAGGCTATATTCCCCTGCTTGTATAGCCAAGGACTACATTAGCTGCTGCACCGCACTAGTGCTCTGTCGGTCTCCATCAGGTGACTCTGGTCTGATACTTGGAGTGTCAGCTCTTTGGTGCAGGGACTGTCTTTGTGTTCTGTGTTTGTACAGCGCCTGGCACAACGAGGGCCTGGTCCGTCACTCGGGTGCCTAGGTGCTACCGTAATACACCTAATAGCAATAAACAATGTACAGCGCCAGGCATAATGGGGTTCTGGTCCATGACTGGGGGCCCCTAGGTGTTACCGTAATACAAATAATAAGTAGCAATAAGAACCTGGATCTTACATTCCCTAAGTCCTATTGAAGCCAATGAAACCTAGAGCACATGCTTAAAATTAATGCTCATGCTCGAGCGCTTTGCTGAGCCATGGCCATAGTGCCTGGACACAGGGCCAGCTGGGTCAAGCTCCGCTCTCCAGCCCGTGACTCAGCACCCCCTCCTGCTTACCGAATGTACTGCTTGCGGTTCAGCCGGCAGAACATGATGAACCCATTGACACATTTCTTCTTCAGCTGCAAGGGGGACCGGGACTTGCTGGAGGCCTCCGGCTGCCGCCCGCCTTCCCCCTTCTTCCTTTTCCGGCTGGCAGCAGGTGGCAGCTTCGTCCGCTTGTAAGGGATCCAGGTGCTGTCGCTGTTCTCGTCGCTGGAGGACATGGAGCGAGCCGGTCCAGGGCTGGAACCCTGGCGGACGGAGAAAGAGGGGGGTGTGGTGGGCAAACACCCAGGCAGGCCCCTGAGATTGGGACACCGGGGAAAGGAAGTGGCACAAGCCTCACTGGGGGCTGCAGGTCTAAATCCCCAAAGCAGTTTTGGAAGCCTCAGCCTTGGAGTGGAAGGGAGAGAACACCCAAGCGGGATCCGCTTCCAGCCAGATCAGAGGCTTGGTGTCTCATCCAGTCCTTATACAGCCACTATGTACATCTGCCCTTTCCCATTCTGTTACCCTAAGATTGCAAGATTTCAACCCCTGCCCCCCAAAACCCATCTTCTCCCCCCTTTCACAGTCTACAGGGCAGCGCCATGACCCCTCCCTCCTTCCTTCCCCCCACCCCCACCCCATCCTCTCACCTCCTGCAAGAGCTGCCCACTCCACACCCCCATTAATTCCGTCACTCCTGAGCTGGGGCTGGAATCGGTTTTACTCGCCTCGCTGTAGGAGAGGTAGCAATGATCCAGCGAGAAGGTGGACTGGAAGAGATTGCGGGAGTTCAGCGGAGTGTCCGGAAGGGTCTGATGCGGGTCGTGCTGAGAAGGATGTGAGGGAGGGGAGAGGAACACGGCCAATGAAACATTAAGGCTGACATGTTCAGAAGGGATCCGGGAGCCTGATTCCCATTACAACGCCCAGACTGGCCACAGGTGTGTGGGAAAATCTCGGCCTGTGTCCATAAGCCTTGAATGGCCTGTCTAATCCTCCCAGGCCTGGGCTGTTCAATCTTCAGCGAGGAATGCAGCAGGTTTCACCCGCCCCAGATGATTTCCATTCTACAGGCAAGCCCTTCTCCAATGCTTCCCTGCAGTCTCTGCTTACAGGGCTGGTTGCAAACCCCTTGCGGCAGCAAGTCTGGCTTTAGTATGGATATGGAGAGCGCTCAGCACTACAGGGCCCCAAGCAGGGTCTCCAGCACAAATAACAAAGGGGGATGAGAACCTCGCAGCTCCAGACCCCAGCAGCAGGGCAAAGCTCCCCCACATTCACCTCCACCAGCATGTTTCATGGAGGGGTCACACGATTCATTCGACCCTTGGCCTCCCTCTCTACAGCTGCCCCCAAGGAGGCCCGATTAATGCCAGCTGCGATGGTGGTGGTGAGGATAGCGCCCATGCCCGTGGCTGGCCACTTCACATAGGCCACTCACAGCCAGCAGGTAAGAGCAACCTAATGGACAGAGCATTGGACGGGGGCTCGGGAGAGGTGGGCTCTAATTCCGGCCCTGCTGGGTGACCTGGGGCAAGTCATTTCCCCGCTCTGTGCCTCGGTTTCTCCACCTGGAACACAGGGATAATGGTACTGGTCCTCCTTTGTGCAGCACTGTGAGACCTACTGATGCTAAGGGCCGTTATTATGATCATCCACATCTGAGCCTGACTTTGTAGCACCAGAGGAGGCTGTACGACAATATACAGCTGGGAGGCGGGTTCTGTCTGCTGACAGGGAGAGGGAGAGGGGCCGACAGGGGACTCAGGAAGGGGCTCCCCCCTGCCCACCTTTCTCAGCAGGGTCCCAGCCAGGCTGTCCGAGGAACCAGCAGACTCTGGGCTCAGACACACGTCCTCAAACAAACCTGCCGGAGAACAAGACACACCCCTTCGAAACAAGTAACATCAGAGCAGACCTCCCATGGCCTTCCCCCGGCAAGGACCCCCACCAGGAAAGAGGGAAGCCCCCTCCCCCAAAGGCCACGCTGCAGGGTAGCAATGATTTTAATGATTTCCTCTTGCCACATGCCCTTCTCAGCATACACACCAGCCGGTCGCTAGGAGTCTGCCTACACTGCAAGCAGAGGTGGGAGCGCAGCACGTATAGACATCCCCAGGGCTAGCTCTGAACTCGCTGGCTCCAATAAAGCCAGCAGTGAAGCCGTGCCCGGGAGGCTGGGTATGTACTTGAGCTGCCGTGGGCTTCCTGGCTATCGCCGTCTGAGCCAGCTAGAGCAAAGCCAGCGCAGGGATGTCTGCACGGGCTGCAGCGATGCCCCAGGACTGCACTGCAGACAGACCCTCTGTAGCTCGTTAGCCTAGGGATGAAACGATTGGGGTACGTGAGGGTCAGGGTTCAAATCTTGGTGGAGGATGGGACAATCATGGCAGGGGGAGGGGGAATCTCCAGGCCAGGAGGTCAGACTGGATGATAAAAAGGATCCTTCTCCCCTTGCCACCATCTCCAGGATCCCCCACAACCCACCACAGAGAGGATCAGACACTTGGGATGGAAGCTGCCACGACCTGCCATGGGCTGCAGCGGGACTCCACCTGCAGGGGCTGTATCTCTCTTTCTGACCCAGCACGGGAGGGAACCAGAATCAAAGCAGGGAAGGAGCCAGGAGCCGAAATCTGAACTGACTAGCTGAACAGTCTGGAGTTTAGGACCTGATTTCTAGCATCCCGGGTGCTGGCTGTCTCTGCTGCAATGCCCGGCTCAAGAGACAACAAAAGGCCAGTTAAGTTTGTGGATTTCAGTCAGTCTCTGATAAACCCTGGGTGCTTGGTGCAGCGTTCCTGGGGCTCAGGGAATGAAGTGGCAGCATCTCTCTAGAGCAACAGCTCTCAAACTTACTTGTTCAGGCCCCCCTTCTTTGTATCTATAGTTGTTTACGCATTCCCCACCACCACACAACTACATATACCATCACCCAGCTCTGAAGGTAAAGCGGAGAGCAGCGGCTGCTGGCCGGGCGCCGGGCTCTGGAGGCAGAGCGGAGAGCAGCGGCTGCTGGCCAGGCGCCCGCCTCTGAAGGCAGAGCGGAGAGCAGCGGCTGCTGGCCGGGCGCCGGGCTCTGAAGGCAGAGCGGAGAGCAGCGGCTGCTGGCCGGGCGCCTGGCTCTGGAGGCAGAGCGGAGAGCAGCGGCTGCTGGCCGGGCGCCCGGCTCTGGAGGCAGAGCGGAGAGCAGCGGCTGCTGGCCGGGCGCCCGGCTCTGGAGGCAGAGCGGAGAGCAGCGGCTGCTGGCCGGGCACCGGGCTCTGAAGGCAGAGCGGAGAGGAGCGGCTGCTGGCCGGGCGCCGGGCTCTGGAGGCAGAGCGGAGAGCAGCGGCTGCTGGCCGGGCGCCCGGCTCTGAAGGCAGAGCGGAGAGCAGCGGCTGCTGGCCGGGCGCCCGGCTCTGGAGGCAGAGCGGAGAGCAGCGGCTGCTGGCCGGGCGCCGGGCTCTGGAGGCAGAGCGGAGAGCAGCGGCTGCTGGCCGGGCGGCCAGCTCTGGAGGCAGTGCAGAAGTAAGGGTGGCAATGTGAAAAGACACATTCATCAATATCACTTTCCACAGCAGACGTAGTGCCCCATTTCCACCCTTACTTCTGTACTGCTGCTGCTGCCACTTTGGGGCTGGCAGCCAGAGCCTCGCCGCCTGCAGGTGAGGGATTTGCGGGAGGAAAAGGAGAGAGTCTGGGTGGCAGGGCTCCAGCCATCCCCTTTATCCCCCCATCCCCGGTGTTCACAGCCCTTCTGCACAAGCCCCCGCCACCCAGGGGTGACAGCCAGAGCTCTCTCCCCCCCACTCACACACAAAAAAGAATAGCATATAGCTCACGCCTTCTTTGACACAGTCCCCTGCCTCCCTTGGGAGGCCTGCCCCACAGTTTGAGAACCGCTGCTCTTGGGGCATGTTCCCACTGGAAAACACAGTCTGGGACTTCTCTTGCACTGTAGCACTGTCCACTCAGGGTGTAACTGAGCAGTAAGTGGGTGCAGAGCAGATTCACACCCTAGCTTGTGACACTAACTCGCCATGTAGACATGGCCAACCAGCTCCTTCTGCTGAAATCGCACAGGGTCAATCCCTGCAGCCCAACCTCCACTGAAGCCTGTGGCAGCTGGAAGGACTGCATACGGCGTCTGACACAAGGGGCCCCAATCCCGCTTTGGCGCTTCTAGACTCTACCGCGGTTGGATGGCTGGAGATGAAAGATGGCCCAGCAGTTAGGGCTGCTAGCCTGGGACTTGGGAGGCCTGGGTTGGATTCTCTGTTCTGCTCCAGCCTGCCTGTGGGACCCTGGGCAAGCCACGTCAGCCCCTGGTTCCTCAAAGGTAATTCACATCAATGGGAGTTAGGCGCCTAAATATCTTTAAGGATCTGTGCCTCAATTTCCCCATCTGTACAGTGGAGAGACTAGCCCTGCTCAGCCACACAGGAGTGTGCCAGGAGAACCACGTGAAGAATCGGGAGGTGCCCAGACAGTACAGTGATTGGAGCCAGATAAATATACGGATGCTGCCCACATATAAGGAAAGGTCTGGCTGACAAAGCCGGTAACGTGCCACTGCTGAATGGCTCCGGTACACAGCACGTGGCCACACAGTAATGATGGCATGGTGCCCCCAGACACGTTAGGTAGAGATCACACAAAAAGAGGGGAGGGGCGGTTAACTCTCGATTGCCTTGTGCTCTATGGCGTGGATGTAGTAGGCTCCCTTGTGATCTGGGAGAGAGTGACTGGCAACAGGAGAATCCAGCCCCCCTCTTGGGATCCCAACAACGCCCCCATAAGCTGTAATGACAGCAATGTGCTCTGTCCTTTCTAAGGCATGCTGCACAGCTCTCACTTGCTCCCCGCCTCCCTTGCATGGCACGGTTCGTTGCTCGCCTCCTGGGAATCACCACAGCACCACGACCGATCCCGGCAAGCCCCTCAGACGCCTCCGGCCGCAAGGAGGGACGTGGACCCCCTTTACCTTGGGATAGCTCCTCTGACCCCCCCTGCAGAATATGACCGGGAAGCAGCCGTCCAGGAGAGGAGAACAGCGAGGGGCTCAAGCCCAGATCCTTACTGGCCCAGCAAGCCCCGATTTGGCCTCCGCTCCCGGGAGAGCACAGGAGTGAGCTGCCTGTGAACCAAAACATCATTTACACAGGAATCTCACTGGCTACATTTCTGCTACCCTATGTCCCCATAATCAGCCAGGAGAACTTGGGCTGCTCCTCAGCAGCAAAGCTGGAGACTTCCAGGAAATAGACTAACTTGGACCACTAAGATGCTGCTGGATTTATTATTTAAAGGACGCTTGTTAACTTCCTCTACCACTTGTCAGCCGGGACCTATAATCTCTGCCCCCCTTCCCCCACCCCGATAATCAGAGGTTATGTTCTCACTTATTTAGCCCCTTTAATAACCGATGCCCTGCATGACCTCTGCATGTTCAGGGTTTTTTGGTTGTTCCCCCCCAGGTTTTGCAAATAACCAACATCGAATTTTGTTATTCGTTATTTCCCTCTTGTGCATGTGTTTCCATTCATTGTGTTTCCTTGTGTGTTTGTATTTGATATCAAAACAATAAAGTTTAAAAAGGACACATGCAGCTGATATGTCCATATCCCTTTTTCCAGCTGTCTGTCAATGAACACACTGTGCTGTTAGATGGGGGGACCTTTCAGGTCTGAAAGTACTGACGAGGTCTGTCTCCCAGAGCCTGGACACACAGATGCTTGGTACCCAACACAACCAAGAGCAGCAATTTGGTGCAGCCTAAGGGGCCTTTGCCATCTCTGCACGCTCTAGTCTACAGCAGTACTCACCATGGGAACTACACACAGGGGACTGGGTTGAGAGCCAAGGACCAGCATCCAGCCCATCCTCTTCTTCCTCCCCGCAGGAATAATACTGCACCAGCTCCTGCCTGGAAGAGCAGTTTAGAGACGGCCTTGGATTGCTGCTCTGTCTCTTCTCTCCCAGAGCCCCAGACAGAACTGCTTGCAGCTCTGTGCAGCTGGCCGCAAGGGGCTGGACCAAACACAGGCGGTTTTGAGAGCAGCTCCTAGTGTCCTAGGGCCCAGCTGTGCAGTGGGGTAGGGCGGACCCCAGCTTCCTGGAGATTTTCAGCTGCAGCCTCCCGCCCAGGGAGGGTTGGAACCGGGGAGACCTGCTCTGGGCACTACGGCTGATCCTCTTTGAGAAGTGCCGGCTGGGAACAGGCCTCTCCTTCTGGCTGTCTGCAGGCTATAGCCGAGCCAGCAGGCACGTGGCAGAGAACCCAACTGTACGTGAGACCCAGCCTCGCCTTCTGCGGGAGCCTTCCCCTTTGCTAAGCACGCTGCAGGGGCGAAAACTAGGGGGACCGTCCAGCAGGAGGTGCTGTAGAGAATGCCAGGCTATTCTGGTTTAAGCCTCCCCAGCCGGGGACGTTGTAGGGAGTGGGGCAGCATCAGGCTATTCCAGTCTAAACCTCTCCCAGCAGGGGGTGCTGTGGGGAGCAGGGGTGGAGCACTGGCTGGGGGCAGAGCTCCCAGCTACTCCAGTCCCAGCCTCCCCCAGCAGGGAGCACTGTGGGGAGCGGGGCAGAAGTGCTGGCTGTGGAGGGAGCTCCCAGCAGCAATCTGGAGTCAGGGTTTGAAAACGCTGCACCCTGGCTGGATGGCAGCTCCAGGCCAGATCCCTAGCAAGTGCAAATTGGCAGAGCCGCCTTGAAGTCACCAGAGCCACAAGTTTCTGTGGTCAAGCTCCCGCACCAGCTCTTACCCCAGCAGAGCAAGGTCCGGCCCGTCGTACCGACGCTGCTCCCGGTAAATCAGCTGAGCCTCGCAGGTAGAGCAGATGTCATCCTCCTCCTGGCTCCCCTCTCGGTCACAGCCTACGCACCAATCTGCAAATGCACATGCATGCTTTGGTCCTGCTCCACCAGATACCGCGACCCCCAGCAGAGGAGACTCAAGGTTACCACGGATCCAACCCAGATTATGGACGCTACGGCCATGGCTTCTTATAGGAACGGGGCCAGATGCTCTGTGGGTGGAAATGGGCAGCTGGGGATCTGGTGCATAATCTCTGTTAACGAGGGCCTGGATTTCACACACACCCTGTGTTGCCACGGACCCCTGTGCATGGCGAGAGCTGATGCTCCCCAGAGGCCCCGTGCACGGCGAACGTGGCGGGGGTGAGACACTCCCTTGACCCGAGCGACGGGCGAGCTCCCATCAGCTCCCATCTCCCACCCAGTCCTGCAGGAGGTGTCCAGCAAAGGACAGAGAGGGACCACACCTGCTGCACAGTCGGGAATGCCACCTTTGCCCCTGTCCAGGAAGGCGCTGCCTGTGGGCTGGCGAGACCCCAGCGCCGGGTCCCTTCGGCTGAACTGGAACAGAAGCTGCTTCATGCCAGGAGAAAGGACGGCCCCTTCGCCTGCCGCGTGCAGATCTGCCTCTGTGCGCTGCCCAGACTGCCAGGGCGATTCCCCCAGGCTCAGGCTCCGACGTATCTCCTTGTTCACCCCATGCTGCTCTGCGAAGGGAAAGGGCACAGTACTCTAGGCCTGACTGTGTCTCTGCTTTCCCGGCAACTCACCTAGGACACGGAGCCAGGTGAGCCCCGAGGTGCATCGCCACACAGTGCAGCTCAGGCACGAGGAACATTCCACCTGCCCTGGGCACCCGTCAGCTCCAAGCTCAGCTTGTGAGGACGCCCCTTCCCCAAGAGCTCCAAGGTAACACCCCTGTGCTGCACACCGCCCTAGGCTTCCCGGACATCAGCTCAGCAAGCTTCACCGGGAGAGAGGGAAACACAAGATTACCAGGAGCAAGGGAAATGCTAACAGGCCAGCTGGAGAAATTGACATATGGTGAGATTAAGGGACATGCCCAAGGTCACAGAGCAAGGTAGTGGCAGAATTAGGTCCAGAACCCAAGAGTCCTGCCTTCCACTACCCTGCCCCAACCACTAGACCCCACTCCCCTCCCAGAGTTGGGGAGAGAACCTCCTGGCTCCCAGCCCCCCTGCTCTAACCATTAGATCCCACTCTCCTCCCAGAGCTGGGGAGAAAACCCCGGAGTCCTGGCTCCCAGCCCCCTTGCTCCAACCACTAGACCCCACTCTTCTCCCAGAGCTGGGGAGAGAACCCCGGAGTCCTGGCTCACAGTTCCCCCCTGCTCTAACCACTAGATCCCGCTCTCCTCCCAGAGCTGGGGAGAGAACCCCGGAGTCCTGGCTCACAGTTCCCCCCTGCTCTAACCACTAGATCCCGCTCTCCTCCCAGAGCTGGGGAGAGAACGCAGAAGTCCTGGCTCCCAGCCCTCCTCCCACTCTAAGCTACACTAATCATTTCCCTGCATCAGCCCTTTGCTGGGTCAAGCAACCCAAAGACCCAGCTACCTCATTCCATGGCAAGAAACCTAGGAGGTGAGCTGGGATCCTGACCCTTACGGGGATGACACATGCACGGGACGGGAGGGGTGGGGGGAGAAGAGGGAGAGTTTTTCACAAATGTAACAGCAGCCCCTGCTAGCCACACTCACCAATTGACGCTCTGGAGGTAATCTCAGATCTGTGACACGGAGGCTGCGTTTACAACGCAGCTGGGAGGCCTTCTTCCCACCTCACGCAGATGTACATGAGCTAGCTCTGCTCAAGCCAGCGCGCTAAAAACAGCAATCTGGCAACCGTGGCACAGGCTTGAGCTAGCTGCCTGAGGACCACCGGGTCCAAGATCCTAGGGAAGCACGCCGGCTTGAGCAGAGCTAGCACGTGTGTCATGGAATCAGAGAAATGTCCGGCTGAGAGGTCATCGAGCCCAGCCCCCTGCCCTGAGGCCAGACCAAGCAAACCAAGACCAGCCCTGACAGGGGGTTGTCCAGCCTGGTCTTAAAATCCTCTCTGGACGGGGATCCCACAGCCTCCCTGGGAAGCCTGTTCCAGAGTTGAACTGCCCTGAGAGTTAGAAAACTTCCCCTCATATCTAACCTCAATCTCCCTTGCTGCAGATTAAGCCCATTGCTTCTTGGCCAACCTTCAGTGGACACGGAGAACAATCAATCCCCCTCTTTATAACAGTGCTTAGTGTATTTGACGACTGTTCTCAGGGCCTCCCTGTGGCTTCTTTTCTCAAGACTAAATGTTGCCAGTTTTTTTAACCTTTCCTCCTAGGTCAGGTTTTCTAGACCTTGGATTGTTTTAGTATCTCTCCTCTGGAATCTCTCCAATCGGTCCACATCTTTCCTACAGTGCGGCACCCAGAACTGGACCCAGCCCTCCAGCTGAGGCCTCACAGCACCTAGCAGAGCAGGACAATTACCTCCTGCGACTTACATACGACACCCCTGTTAATACACCCAGAACCATATTAGCCTGGTTAGCCGCTGCGTCACATCGCTGACTCAGATTCCACTGGTGATCCATTATGACCCCGGATCCTTTCCTGCAGTTTGACCGCCGAGCCAGTTAGTCCCCATTTGGTAGTGGTGCACTTCCCAAGTGCAGCACTTTGCCCGTGTCTTCATTGAATCTCATCTTGTCGCATTCAGACCGATTCTCTAATTTGTCAAGGTTGCTTTGAATTCTAATCCTGTCCCCCAAAGTGCTTGCAGACCTCCCCCACCCCACAGCTTGGTGTCATCCGCAAATGTTATAAGCATCCTCTCCTCTCCATTACCCACGTCCGTAATGAAAATACTGAACAGCAGCGTACTGTGTACATCTACCCAGGCTGCGAATGACACCTCCCAGCTGCAGTGCGGATGTACTCTGAGTGCTGTAGGGCCTTCCTAGAGGAAAATGGCCAGTGACTTTCCAGGTGGGGGTCCGGTGCTCCGCCCTGCCAAAGGCAAGGGGTCAGGATGTTCAAAATGAAGTCAAAAGCCAGGGCTGGCCAAAGCGAAGCATGGAGAGCAACGTGAGCACAGAAGGGGGTCCGGCCATTGGAGAAGAGCTGCCTCTCCTAAGAAATCTCCCCTTCTTCCCCTTGGTTGTCCCAATGCAGCAGAGATGGGCCTGTCCCACAGGAAAGGGGGGGGGGGGAGGAGAGATCGCTCTGCAGAGCGAGGCTAGGGGGAATGGCTGCTACAGCTTCAGTCCCAACCTGATCTGCAGGATCGCTTTCCTTTGCGGGGTTTCTTGCCAACGTTCAGGAGCTTGGCTCTCCTCCTCCGCGGGGTGATGGGCGGAGTGCCGTCTCCACACCCTCGCTGACAGGCGGACATCTCTGCACATCTGAACGCACCCGCTTCAAATTCTGCAAGACGAGGGGAGAGCAGAGCAGGTCAGAACTCCCCCCCTCCAGTAACCACTTTGGCTCGCAAGGATCCCGGGCCGAAAAGGGAGAGAGAAAAAAACACAGCTTCCGACGATCACTCAGCTTGTGTAGAGGTCCACGTTAGCCCTGCTCAAGCTAGGGCAGTGGCTCTCAACCTTTCCAGCCTACTGTAACCCTTTCAGGAGTCTGATTTGTCTTGCGTATCCCCAAGTTTCACCTCACTTTAAAACAACTTGCTTACAAAATCAGACATCAAAATACAAAAGTGTCCCAGCGCAAGGTTACTGAACAATTGCTGACTTTCTCATTTTTACCATAAATTATAAAATAAATCAATTGGAATATAACTATTGTACTTACATTTTAGTGTATAGTAGCGTTTCTCAAACTGGGGTCCACGGGCCCTGCTGATCCAATCCTCCCCCTCCCTCCCTGTGCCTCCTGCAAGCCGGGGAACAGCTGTTCAGCGTGGTGCAGGAGGTGCTGGGAAGGAGGGGGAGGAGCGGGGACAGGCGCACTCGGGGGAGAGGGCAGAAAGAGGCGGGGGTGGGGGAGCAGGGATGCAGTGGGGTGGGGGAAGGGGTGGAGTGGGGGTGGGGCCTTGGGCTGAGCGTTTGGGTCTTGGGAGTTCACGAAATTTTTTAAAATCAAAATGGGTGTCCTCGGGTTACTAAAGTTTGAGAACTGCTGGTGTATAGAATATAGAGCAATACGAATAAATCATTGTCTGTATAAAATTGTAGTCTGTACTGACTTTGCTAGGGTTTTTATGTAGCCTGTTGTAAAAGTAGGCAAATACCTAGATGAGTTGATGTACCCCCTGGAAGACCTCTGCGTACCCCTGGTGGAGAACCACTGAGCTGGTGCACTAAAAGCAGGAGTATGGCTCTGATGGCAGCGGTGGTCACCTGAGTACACACCTTGAGGTTCAGACGGGGCTGTACTTGGAGCGGCCAGCCCGTCCCAGCACCCATGATGCCGCGGCCACGCTGCCATTTTTGGCATGCTAGCTGGAGTAGAGCTAGCCCATACGTCTGTTTGAGCTGGGAATTACACCTCCCAGCTGCAGCGCGGACGGCCCCGGAGTCAGAGGAGCCTGTCACAGCCACAGTGCCCACGGAGTGTGGGTCTGGAGACGGAACCGATCCCTCCAGGGGCAGCCACGCGAATGCAACGCCCGCCCAGCAGCATTCAAAAGTCACCACCCCCGGCAGCTGCTTGGTGGCCCAGGTGAACCAAGTGGCAAGGGGTGGCCCATTCCAATTCCTAATGGGCTTGCCTCACAAATGGCCCCCTGGATCACCATTTCAGTGGAAAGGTCAAGGACTGAGTGGGTCACAGACACCCCCCTGACCTCCAGGGCAAGGTCAAGGGGCGAGGGTGGGGGTTTGAGCAGGGCCTGGTCTCCGGTCTCCAGGAAATGAAAATACAGAATGAAAGTGTCAGCTCTGCGGGGCAGGGACTGGTTTTGTTCTGGGCTCGTACAGGACCTAGTGCAATGGGGCCCTGTTCCCTGTGAAGCCCACGGGCTACAATAATACAAAATAATAATACACCTGGTGGGCCAAACCCACAGGGCACAATTTAACAGCCAGCCTGACTTAACCCCATGTGACCAAATCAGAGGACTCCAAAACCAAGAATCCTCTGACCAAAGTGCTGGGACACAAATCGCCTGGCCCAATCCTGCACTGGATTCCAGGACACTGGACTGAATAGGACCCTCCTGGGGCTTTTCCCCGTCACTTCATGCTATGGCCAAGGTGTGTATGTGGGGGGTGGGGGGCTATTTGTTGAACTCTTCACGCAGCTCTAAAAGGAAGCACCTGCATAAATACTCCAGAACTGAGCAGATAGCCCCCAGCAGCCAGAAGGACAGGGGACCGGAACGACTGCAGGCACAAGGCATTTGGAAGAACTGGCTCCCTGTCCAGGGGAATTCTTACCACCTTCCAAGGGGCTCAGGGGCACCTTCTCAGAGCTCCAGTTGGTTTGCGTTAAACACTCCCAGAAAATATTGTATCTCCTACTCGGAAGCCCCTGTTGCCCCTCTGGCTGAGCAATGCACGTACAGCGGATCTCCTCTCTGGCTTATCCCACATCCCTGCTGTGACCCATGTCCCTACACCGCCCCTTGGCTTCCCTCCACGTGGCAGCTCACGTCCCTTGTGCCCTCCCCCATCTCCGTTCACTGCTCGCGATCCCTTACCTTCTTTCTCCCCACGCCGGAGCTGGAGCAGAGTCCTGGCGGTGCTGATGCTCGCCTGCAGATGCTCAATGTAGCAGAGGACACACAACAGGATTTCCTTCTGTTTCAAAGGGAACACACGCTCAGGGAAAGGCTTTATACTCACAAGGAGCGTTGGTAGATGCAGCACCCGTGGCACAATTCTGTGGCAACACGTGAATTCTACAAACAAAATCCACAGCCACTAATGTCCCTGGCCCTGCACAGCTGGAGAGTGGCTGGGAACCTTCTTCTAGGCTTACTCAGTAATAATGAGTTACACCTTCTAGTGTGCGTGTGTGTGCACCTGTGTAAGACAGACCCGTCTGCAAAACAAGACCATGAGGGGGGCTGGTTGGCTCATGGGATGGGACGTGGAGCCGTTTGCCTCTAGACTGCTCAGTGCCCACTCAACTCAATTCACTGGTGACCCAACTCAATTCACTGGTTCCTACTCGACTCAATTCACTGCCACGGGACGGCTGTTGTGCGAATTAAGTTGCTCTTCTGCCCAGTTCAATGAGGGTAAGTATCCACATCACCAAGGGTTGGTACGAGCTGGAAGGCTCAGCAGAAAAACCAAGGACTGTCATCAAGTTTCATGATTTCATGTTTCATCTTTAATGGTGGGTCCCCCCAGAACAGAAACAAGGCAGGTGAGCAAGGCGTGAGTGTGGGGCAAAGCGTCCCCTCCAAATGTCTGGGACGCAGCTGTTGGGCAGATACAGCACATCAGCCTCCAAGGCTGCAAATCCAACAGACCCATCCACAACACATTTGCTTTTTAGAAAACCCCACAAGGATGATTTCAGTGAGGAAATTCTTCTCCTTGATTTATTCTGGGATGGGGTTGGCAGCCTGCATATAAGACCCAGAGTCTAACGGCTTGTCTGCAGGGGAAATTGACCGGAATAGCAATTCCAGAATAGCTCCCCCTGTGGACACTGTATTCCGGAATAATTAGCATGCTTCTGAAACAGAGTCATTATTCCAGAATAAGATCGCATAAGAGTGCCAAGCTGTTTGTTCCCTTCAAGAAGCCTAGAGGTTTAGCAGCAGCAAGGCTCAAAGCCTCTCTTCCTCCAATAGACTGAAGATCTCAGAGCGGGCTGGCTTCCATCCTGCCTCACCTATGATTTCCCTGAGTCACATTATTTCTTTAACATGGTCCCTTGCTTCTCTCCAGAACGTTATACTTGGGGAAGCAGCTGTCAGGGCAGCAGCCCACTCTGGCCGGCAGTACCTTGGTAAGCTTTTTGTAGCTGGTATGCAGAGGAACAGGCAGCATCTGAGCCAGCTCTCGGAGCATGTTGGTGTAGTTACCACGTCTCTTTCTGTTCAGGGATAAAAGAAGGTCAAACAGTTGCTTCCAAATCCACTGGCAAAAAAGTCCTTTCTGGTAATGCTCCCCTCTGACCAACTGCAAAGCTCACTTAGCTACATAGACGAGTGGCACAGGCGAGGCTCAGGGAAGAGGCAGGAAACTGCAGACGAATGGCCTGCTCTGGTCCCTACATACTTTTGCGGAACTGGGCCGGGTACTATCGTACTACTGCATGCATCCAAACGGGGCAGATCTAAGCTTATGCAGGCAACTTTGACTGTGGCATTTCCTGACTGCTGAGCACTTACTACTTTCAGGCTTCACACAAATTGGGTAGCCACCAATAGAGGTCACACAGGCAGTCAGACAAGCACTGGACTGGCACTCAGAAGTCCCGGGTTCTAATCCTGCCTTGGGTGAACTTGCGCCAGTCCTGTCACCTCCCTGTGCCTCAGTCTCCTCCTCTGTACAATGTGAATAATGAGACTGGCCTCCTTTGTAAAGCGCTTTGAGACCTACTGCTGGAAAGCGCTCATTATTGAGGTCTGCTCTACCCACGGATTTTGTCCTGATACAATCATGTTGGTTAGGGGAATGATTATTTTTGCTGGTGTAGTTATACCGGCACAACTCCTAGTACAGATGGCGTTATATTGGAACAAGGGTGCCATACACCCATATAGCTTATTCCCCTTCCCTTACAGGAATCAGCATTACCAGTAGAAACACATTTATACTGAAATCACCGTCCCGATTTAGCGAGACCAGCACAGTTCAAGCAGCACAACTTTTGTGTGGAGACGAGGTCTCATTGACTGGCTCTCTCACTGGAACACGAAGAGTTGGGCTGAGGATGCACAAGAAGGAATGGTATCCATCTAGCTCCCTGGGCTATGCCTTAACTGTGAAAAGAGGTGAGCTTTTTCATGGAGTCAGCTATCTTTGTAAGCTCCTAGCGAAGACGAGGCACGAGGAGTCTTTACCTTGATGTAGCTAGTTGAGATCAACCCTATATCCCCCTGAAGTTGACCTCAACTAGCTACCCCCAGGTAAAAAAACTACATGAGGTCAGACTAGTTGATCACAGTGGTCCCTTCTAAGCCTTGGGAATCCTTGAATCTGTGAATTTCCACTAGGAGTTTATAGAGAGATTCCTAGATTCCAAGGCCAGAAGGGACCACTGTGACCCCCTGCATAACACAGGCCAGAGAATGTCTCCAAAATAATTCCTAGAGCAGATCTTGCAAAAAAAACCCATCCAATTGTGATGCAAAAATTGCCAGTTATAGAAAATCCACCACGGCCCTTGCTAAATTGTTCACATGATTAATTGCTCTCACTGTTAAAAATTTAAACCTTATTTCCAGGCTGAATGAATCTAGCTTCAACTCCCAGCCATTGGATCAGGATAGACCTTTGTCTGCTAGATTGAAGAGCTCATTATTAAATATTTGTTCACCATGTAGGTATTTATAGATTCTAATCAAGTCACCCCTTCACCTTCTCTTTGTTAAGCTAAATAGACCGAGCTCTTTGAGTCTATCACTATACGGCAGGTTTCCAGCCTTTCTTCATTCTTGCAGCGTGGCCCCTCTTTAGTTTATCCACATCCTTCTTGAATTGTGGGCACCAGAACTGGACATAATATTCCAGCAGCTGGTGTCAAATATAGAGGTAAAAATAATCTGCCTGCTCCTACTTGAGAGTCCCCTGTTTATACACCCCAGGATCCTATTAGCCCTTTTGGCCACAGCATCCCACTGACAGCTCATTTGCAGCTGATTATCCATCATGACTCCAAAATCTTTTTCAGAGTCACTGCTTCTCGGTGACTTTCGGGGGCCCCAAACGCTTCCCAGGATAGAGCCCCTCATCTTGTAAGTATGGGCCGCATTCCTTATTCACGTTAGACAGCTAACTTGATGGAAGAACACACTTCTTTTTGCGGTGACAACGTGGCTGGGCTGGGCCTGTCTGTAGTAAAAACCTATTTCCATCACTAAATCTGCATTGCTTTGTCTATATTCAGAATTCCACCTGCTTCACAAAAGGTGCAAGTTTGAATAGATTTTTGTTAAATCAGTTCAAAACCCCTGTGGACATTCTAAATTGGATTTAGCTTTAGCCTGATTCCTCACCCAGGTAAGCTAAACTGGTATAAGCCTGGTTATAATTGAACGTAGAGCATCCACACAGGGTGCAACAGTGGTTGAAGCAGTTTTTATTTAAAGCAACCAAAAGTGAACTCAATGCAACCATGAATATATTAGTATTAATTATTTGTAGTACCGCCGCACCCAGGAGCTGTACCAACACCGAAAAAGTCCCTGCCCCAAGCCAAGGGTCAACAGATGGAGACAGACAGATGGACGGGAAGTATAAGGAAACGAGACAATGCTGGTCAGCACGACGGGCCGAGGTCTCGGCACACCAGCAGCCCGACTGTTGTCAAGTTTCAGATAGGAATCACAGAAAGGAGCATTTCGAGGTGGGTTTTGAAGGAGGCGGCTTTGCAGATGTTTACAGGGAGTTCCTCCCAAGCGTGAAGGGCAGCAAAGGAGGAAGCACAAAGATGCTTGCTGGAAAGTTTCCCTGGTGGGTGACGGAGGCTGGCGCCATGGGCCCGCTAGAGGCGCGGGTCAACAACTCGATAGCAAAGAAGAGATGTTAGGTCAGGTAGGGATGGGCCACGAAGGGCGTGGAAGGCGAAGACATGTTATAATGCTCATCACTGTACTCCAGCCAGCTGACGGGGAGCAGGGGGTGGCTTTTTTTTAGGCTACCCCTTTCCCCCGTGCACTGATCGACTGATACATATTGACAAACTTGACTCCATCCTAACAACGCTTTCTCTCTAGGAATGATAGAGCTGCTCAGAGAAATCACACTGCACGTATCCCGTTGGGACTGCGAAAGCTATTTAACGCCACACAGCACAATAACACAGCACTTTAGGGCAGGAAGTGAAGGCAAAACCCCTGAACTTCACTCCCAGCTGCCAAGGGCAAAGCGGGTATAAAACTCTATTCTGGGACCGCTTTGCACTGGCGTAAGTGACTTGGTGTATCAAGAAGGGGTTTTGAATGGGGGCAGGGGATAAAGTCAGGGGAAATCTGGTCTCTGGCATGGAAGGGATAGGCCCTAACTGCCCTGTCCCATGTCCTCACCCGTCTCCGATGGTTCGCGGCTGGCAGTTGCTGCGGCCAGGACGTGGCTCCCAGGGGCCAGCACGCCCGACCTGACCCCACATCTGCAATGGAGAACAAAGGGAAAAAGAAGGGGAATTCCAATCGATCCCAGACCAGGAATGAGATGGGGAAACGGGGAGCCCATGTGTTGTCCCTCCACCCCACTGGACAGAGGGTGGGATGAGAAGAGGGTGCCGTAAAGGGGGGGGGGTATGTCATCAGCTGCAAGAATCAGAGGCAGATACACAGGAGGGGGGAAGAGAACTGAGCAGAGTGTGGGGGTGGGACAGATATGACCAATACCATCCTGCGAGGCTCAGGGATATAAAGGAGGGGGGCAAATATCACCTGCTCCTTTTGGGGGGGAGGACAAATATTGCCCCCCATGCAGTAGGGAGGGGGCAGTAATGCTGAGACTAGCATGGAGGACGGAGGCAGCTGTTACTAGACCCAGCACTGTGGGGGAAGGGAGACAGGCCCAATCCCCTGCAATGGGTGGGGGGGAGCTCTGAGAGGCAAATGGGGGGAAGATCTCAGGGGAGTGGTAAGGGGGCCCAGCCTGGAACACATGCGGGGATGCCAGGAGGGGGCTGTGGGCAGTCAAGAGGCTATGGGGGGGAGGGGGCTCCCTGAGGGGTTATGGGGGGGCTCCCAGGAATGGGGGAGCCTGAGGCAATGTGGGGGGGAGCCCTGGGAGTGATGGGGAGGAGTCGGGGGAGGTACCCTGTGGGGTGATGGGAGACCAGTGGGGGAGAGCAGGCTTCCTGGGGGGGGGGGTGACAGGGGCTCCCACAGGGGGGGAATGGAGAGGGTGGGGCTCCCTGGTGGGCTGATGGAGGAGGGGGTGCAGTGGGAGGGGAGCTGTGGGGGGGGGCAGAAGGAGCCTCTTGGGGGTGATGGGAGAGGGGGAACCAGAGGCAATGGGGGAAGGGGGCTCCCTGGGGCTGAGGTGGGAGGGGAAGGTCTGGGGGGTGACAGGGGAGGGGGCAGTGGGGGGCATAGAGGGAGAGGGAGAGGGGGCGATGGGGAAGGGGTGATGAGGGAGGGGGACCCCGGGGCGGATGGGGGAGGGGCGGGGGGAATAGGCTCCCTACCCCCCCGCCCCCCCACCTTTCCCGGGCGGGCCGCGAGCTCCCGGGAGCGCGGCGGGGCGCGAGGACGAGCCGGGCCCGGGTTCCAAGGCGGGGGAGGGGCGGGCGGGAAGCGAGGAGGGGGCGGGGCCCGTGCGGAGTGGGCGGAGCGCGGGTGGGCAAAGGCTGGGGCTGGGGCCTGGACTCGGGGGCAGGAGAGGGGGTTGGGGCAGAGCCTGGGGGGCAGGGCAGGAGAGGGGGATGGGGCAGAGCCTGGGGGGCAGGGCAGGAGAGGGGGATGGGGCAGAGGCTCGGGACAGGAGAGGGAATTGGGACAGAGGCTGGGAGGCAGGAGAGGGGGCTGGGGCCGGGATGGGGGGGCAGGAGAGGGGGGTGGGGCAGAGTCTGGGGGGCAGGGCAGGAGAGGGGGATGGGGCAGAGGCTCGGGACAGGAGAGGGAATTGGGGCAGAGGCTGGGAGGCAGGAGAGGGGGTGGGGCCGGGACGGGGGGGCAGGAGAGGGGGATGGGGCAGAGTCTGGGGGGCAGGGCAGGAGAGGGGGATGGGGCAGAGGCTCGGGACAGGAGAGGGAATTGGGGCAGAGGCTGGGAGGCAGGAGAGGGGGCTGGGGCCGGGACGGGGGGCAGGAGAGGGGGATGGGGCAGAGTCTGCGGGGCAGGGCAGGAGAGGGGGATGGGGCAGAAGCTCGGGACAGGAGAGGGAATTGGGGCAGAGGCTGGGGGGCAGGAGAGGGAGCTGGAGCTGTTGCATGAGGCAGGCATAGCTCTTTTCTTGCCCCCACAAGGAGCCAAGAGGGGTTTGGGGGTTGGGGGGATAAGAAGAGTTCAACTGCTCAGGGCACTTCCGCTCCCCTCTCCTTCCTTGCAACACCAGGCCTGATGTGCGGGTTGACTAACCCCATGAGCTGCAGGAAAAGCAGCTGTGCGGGGTGGGGGGAGAATTGATATGGGGCTTTGGGGGGATGTAATTAATTGCTGGGCTGGGGGGAGGACAGATGTGGGGCTGGGGGGACGACAACACAGAACTAATTTGTTGGAATTTGGGGCTGTGGGGAGAAGCTGGAAACTCCCCGCCGTCAGGCAGCTGCCCCTGCAGTGGGGCCAGGCTGGCATCACCCGCTGCGTTTCTGGCAGTTGGCAGCACCGGGGGGGTGGGGGGGAGGTCTAGCGATGGACTGACAGGCCCAAGCACCAGAGATGGGTCTTGAAAAAAATCTTGTGATTTATTTTTTGTCTCTGACTCCTGATCTTTGAAGTCGTAGGGCTGATGGTAGCGTCAGTAAAGTAGGGACCAAACCAAAACATCTGGGGAGCATACCAGTTCATGTTGCACTTAAACAGGTTTTTCCCTCCATCTTTGTCCCTGAAACAAACAAAAAAAGCCCCATTTTCGTTCAACCTGAAACTAATTTTTTCAGGTTTTCAGTTTGGGTGTTTCTCCCCCTTACTTCTAAGTTAGCTAAAATTGCTAAACGAAACACATCTTTCCATTTCATTTAAAAAACCGTTTCATTTCACAGGGCCGAAACAAACCTTTATTATTCTCTCTGCATCAGTTTGTTTTTCATCAAGCCCCCAGGTGCATCCAAACTGCGCTCCACTTGGTCCAACCTCAGCGCAGGCGCCTGGACCAGATTCCTTCCAGCCTGTCATTTCTCCGGTTCGCTGCCTGTGACAGGCTGTGTTTGTGGGAGTTTTTTTACCATTTCAGTGAGATCAGTACAAAATAAAGATTTAAAGCTCCTGTGAAACTAGAAATTTCTGAAAGCTCAACCTGAACTGTGGAGTCGGGACCAGCGCCTCTGGGATACGGATATATCTAAAGGAGGGAGGCGGGGAAAGAGATTGCAAATTCCTTCTTTCATGCATCTCTGTTGCTGAGGTTGTGGGAAAACACCCAGCTGTGGGAGCTGAGGCTTATCTGGTTTGCAACCTCATGGTTGTTTTTCATGGGGAGAAAAATACATGGCAGTGGGATTTGGGGCACTTCAACCAATCCCCTGAACAGCCACAAGAGTTTGGGATGTCCAGACCAGTGGTTCTCAAACTGGGGTTCCCGACCCAAAAGGGGATCACGAGCCTATTGTGGGGGGGGGGGGGAGGGTGTCGCAAGCAGCAGTGCAGAAGTAAGGGTGGCCTGGTGTGGAGAGGGGGTCACCACAGCCTGAAATATTTTCAAAGAGGGTCCCAGCAAAAAAAAGTTTGAGAACCCCTATCCTAGACCTCCTTTCTGGGGGTGTTACCTTACAAGCCAGACCCCCAGCGGGTGTAAGCAGGTGTTGCACCATCAAAATTGGATCACCTTTTCATTATGTGTTTGTACAGGGCCTAGCACAACGGGGCCTCGACCCCCAATCTGGCACCTCTAGGGGCTAGCGCAGTACAAACAGCAACCAGAAGAGTTATTTTTAAACACCCTTTGGAAATGTCCCCTACTCCAATGTATATGATTTTTATTAAGTACATACATATTTAGTAACGGGAGGCATTAAGAACTCAGTCGGAGGTTTCTCAGAACTGAAAAGAGCTGGCAGGAGAAAACGGACAACAGCTGCCCGATACTGAGCTCATCCAGGCCAGTGTAAATCCGGAGTAACACCAGTGAACACGGGTAACACAGGAGCTACAAGCAGCATGAGGATCGGATCAGGAGCCGGGCCCGAATCTCTGGTTCACCCCCACGCCACGCACTTGCTCCCAAGCCTGTTCATTTAGCCTGTGTACTCAGGGCCGGAGTTTTCAGTTGACGCCGCTTAAACATTTTAGAGCCGATGAGGTTTAATGAGGCATCTCCTTGATAAAAGCGGCTAACAATGGCCTTGATCAAAGAAAGATTGGAAAATTGCTCACCAGCCGTGCACCCAGTAAGAGGGCTATGGGAGGCTTTGCCAGAGTAAACAGTTGGCTCTGTCTTGAAAAAAAAGCCATTTGCTGATTTTTCCTGTCTGCAGATCAATGGGATTCGTGCCATTCAAAGCCCTCCTTTCTGCCCAAGAAATAGGCACCGGTTTAACTGGTATTTTAAAACCAGTTATTGAACTGGTGCAAACTCTTATATCAGCTGAGGGGACAGACGCACTAATCATCTGGATACCTTAGACTCTTGCCTGGTTCTTCAGGGTGTCTTAGCACCTCACAATCTGTGGTGTGTTTCTCCTCACCAATCCGCTTGTGAGACCCCCTCAGAACCCCAACCCATCCTGGGATGAGAGTCCTGCACAGATGGGGAAACTGAGGCACAGACAGGCTAAGTGATTCACCCAGGAAATCTGCGACATGGCAGGGAACTGACCCTCGCTAGCATCCCACGTCCCCATCCTCCCGCTCTGGCAAGGCCAGTTTAGCTCAAGATGGGAGGTTGCATCAGGTGAGCTAAACAGGTGGCTTCAGGGTGCATGCTTTGGTGACTGCATCGTGGCTAATGTGGCGTACCTTCCTAAATGTGTAAGCATAACTCAGCAAGCCCAGATAAATCCCGTTCCCCTCATTACCCTGCCCTGCTAACACGAGTACAAACAGTCACAGTTCAGGGCACCTGCACCTGTACTCCCCCTCCAGCAAGCGCACCCCCCACTCTAGACCCCCAGCTTCCCAGCTGTCACCTCTCCTGGGCGGAGACCCGTGTTTCTCTCTCTCCTCCCGGCTGCACAGTGCCCTGCCCAACCTGTGAGTTCTCCAGGCCCACCTGCCTAATGCAGCCTGCTTTACGGGTCTACACAGAGACGGTAACCAGCGCAATTGCCCCAGTGATGACCACCCAGCCCTTTCTAAGCAAGCACATTGATTCCGAAGGTAAAAGCGTTACGGAGAAAACATATTAAAACCCATCAGCCGACCTACCCACATGCTGATAGGCTTACCAGAGATTTCCCTCCCCCCCCTCCTGCCCTGACACCACCAATGGATCTGGCCGGTGATCAAGGCTTCCACTCCAAATAAGCCCCCTCATGAGTAACTCGGTGACTCCTTTCCACCCTTCAGCTTTGAACAATCCTCACGGCACAGGGGATCAGCAGACAAAAGGTGTGTCCCCCGCACCGGGCAATGCTTCATGTGCCGAGTCCTTAGATAGGGGTTTGCAACCCCTCCTGCCACCAATTTCCACTTCACTTCCCAGAAGAGCATTCCTCTCTGCCGCATTGTCCCTTGAAGCTCGTAATGCTTTCCAGAGACTGCGCGAATCCCATGTTCCTCCTAAAGCAGAGGTGGGCAAACTATGGCCAGCGGGTCACATCCAGCCCATGGGACTATCCTGGCCGGGGAGGCTAGTCCCCAGCCCCTCCCTCGCTGTGCCACCTCCTGGCTCCGGCCTCCTGCTGCTCTGAGCAGCATGGTAAGGGGGCGGGGTTGGATAAGGGGTAGGGGGTCCCAGGGGGCAGTCAGGGGACAGAGAGCAGGGGGTGGTTGGATGGGACAGAGGTTTGGGGGGGGCGGTCAGGGGACGGTGGGGTTGGATAGGGTGTGGGAGTCCCCGGGAGGCTGTCAGGGGGTGGGGAGGTGGATAGGGGGGTGGGACAGTCTGGGGACAGGGAGCAGGGGGGGTTGGATGGGGGTGGGTCCCGGGGGGGCTGTCAGGGGGTGGGGGGGTGGATAGGGGTCGGGGGGGCAGTCAGGGGACAGGGGGGGTTGGATGGGGATGGGGTCCCGGGGGATGCGGTTTGGGGCAGGGGTCCTGGGAGGGGGTAGTCAGGGGACAAGGAGCAGGGGGGGGTTGGATGGGTTGGGGTTCTGAGGGGGTCAGTCAGGGAGCGGGAAGTGGGAGGGGGTGGATGGGGGCGGGGGCCAGGCTGTTTGGGGAGGCACAGCCTTCCCTACCTGGCCCTCCATACAGTTTCGCACCCTATTGTGGCCCTCGGGCCAAAAAGTTTGGCCACCCTTGTCCTAAAGACTTTCCATGCGATCCCACCATACACATTTGCATTTGTATCTGACGAACCCCTAGAGGGAATGAACAGAACAGGTCATCATCAGTGATCCATCCCCTGTCGCCCCTTCCCAGCTTCTGGCAAACAGGGTTAGGGACACCGTCTCTGTCCATCTTGACTCACAGCCATTGATGGACCTTTCCTCCATGAACTTATCTAGTTCTTTTTTGAACCCTGTTATGGTCTTGGCCTTCACAACATCCTCTGGCAAGGAGTTCCACAGGTTGACTGTGCGTTGTGTGAAGAAATACTTCCTTCTGTTGGTTTTAAATCTGCTGCCTATTAATTTCATTTGATGACCCCTGGTTCTTGTATTAGAAGGAGAAGGAGTAAATAACACTTCCTTATCTACCCTCTCTACACCAGTCATGATTTTATAGACCTCTATCATGTCCCCCCTTTTAACATCATTCAATATGGTTTGTCCAGGAAATTGCCCTAATGGTCCCAAACCCCACAAAGTGCTGGGTCCACATTAGGAAATTACCTCATATTATTTTCCCCAGTGGTAAGATCCCCCCACTTTTTCTCCTAGGGTGGACGCACCCCTTGTGTGTGGACACTCTCCATCAGTTTCAATCTGGTTTTCATCAGTGTTGCCTGGTAAGTGAAGTTGAGTCTACGCAGGGAAATTGTCCTGGTTTAATTTAAGGTGTGATCTAGCTAAACTGGAGCACAAGGCAATGCCAAGGGTCTTATTTCAGTACAAGGCCCGGTCTACACTAGTTTGACCAGCCAAATGTTCTTTCTCTTGCATCCGTCCACGTTTGATTTTGAGTCTTGCTGATAAAAGTGGCCCCAGTGTAGCTGGGAATCGAGCGCACCCTCCTGAGCCCTGGTTCAGCTGCAAGCTCCACCGCCCTCCCCCTGGGGAGGGAGTTCTGTCCCCTCCCCAGATTGCAGCCAGATCTCCTCAGGGTCCAGCCCCTCATGGAGGACAGCGGCCCTGGGAGAAGGAGAAGTGACAAAGGGGAGGAAACGATGGTGGAAATTGTAGGGTGGAGGGGAGAATCCCTCATCACCCCTGGTAACCCCCTGCCTCTAAAATCCATGGCTGGAGGGGGGGCTGTAGCCACACTTCCTGCGTGTCACACCTTTATTTGGGGGGTCACCTGCCCCAAGGACTTTGCTCCCCCATATGACCCTGATGAAGAGCATCTTTGAACCCTGTTGGATGTTGCATCAATAGGAATCAAGGGGGAGGGGTAACGTCCTTGGCCCCCCTGCCCAGCCCAGCAGCCTCTCTGTCTGTTTCCCTTCAGCGCCACCAACAAACATCCCCTCCTCCTTTGTCCACCCAGTTCCCTCTCCCGCTGTGGAGAGCGCCTGCCTTGATAGGCGCAGCAGCTTATCAGATCCAATCCTTGCAAACACCTGGCGTGTGAGGCTGCGGCGGACCGAGCTGTGCTGGGCTCTGATGGGCCAGGGACAGCTGGCTGCTGGCGAGACGGGGCTTGGGGACATGCCGGCCACCAGCTGACCGCATGAGAGCCCTTTGGACAGATGCCCTGCGGGAGCAGAGATGGATATGCAGCCTCGACAGGTGAGTCCTTCGCCTTTGCCACTGCGGCTCATGGCTGTAACATACATCCATAGAGTTTTTGTGGCAAGAGGGGGCCAGCAGATCGCCCCATTTGGTCTCCTGTGTACCCCAGGCTATTACATTCACCCAGCTACCCCTGTACTCAGCCCAGTAACTTGGGTTAGCCAAAAACGTCCCAGGAAGCAAAACCGTTGTGCCCCACAGGCAGACAGCGGGAGAGACCAGGGTTCTCCCTGATGTCCTTGCCCTGGGATGGGATTGATGAGGAGAGATCTGCCCAGATGCCCCACGCTGCAGAGAAAATCAAAACCATCTTCCCACGCCTTGGCTGTGATCAATAACCTGCTTGTGACTTGGCTTTCCTGCTCCTCACTGGAAACGGCCCCTCACGTCTCCGAAGCACTCCGGCTGCTGAGCCAGATTCTGAGCCCTGTTCCTGCGGTCTCCGGTGGAGTTCCTCCTCTAAGTGACCAGAGGGGTGGGGGGAGGGAGTCAGGCCAAGTTCACCCAGCGGGGCAGGCACAGAACCCAGGCATCCTGAGTCTCCAGCCAGTGCTTCACCCGCGAGTGTGCCAACCCCACTTTTAAAAGGGGGTTTATACCAAGCTAGAGCGATTCATGCTACCATTAAAAAAAAAAATCACCCAAGAGCCGAAGCATTTGTGGACGGCCTTTCAGATCTCTGAAAAGCTGGGGGCCTATTCTGATCTGTTGCAGGGCAGTAACAACAAGACTGCCACCTCAAACGGCATAAACCCGTGCGTCGGGTCCTCCAAAGCCTGACAGCGTCTTAAAAAAACACAATATTATTATTTTAAAATGGATTTGTGGGCTTTGCTCCGCAAACACAGGGGCTGGAAACAGGCGTTATTTTTACAATTACAATTACAGAGCCTCTGGCTGCCCCTGGATTCCAGCAGCTGGGGCTTTCAGGGAAACCCCGAATATCCCAAGACGTGCAACGACTTTGTCACAGCAGGTAACACAAAGTCAATGAACTCACTCTGAGCTTACGCTGAGATTGGCAGCAGAATCTGGCTCTCTCTAGAGCTCTGCTTATCCGCTAGACGGTCCCCCACCTTGTGTCCTGGTTGATACCCCTGTACGTGATCTAGCAGGACTTTGCACAGGTGCAAATGACCGTAGAAATGGCAAGACGACAGAGGACTGGGCCCGCTAGGGACACTGAATACCATTGCCCCTTTCTGTCCCGAGTGGCCAGCCAAAGTCCAGGGCCCTGGGGATGTTCCAGAGAGGAGGAGACATTGATGGAGTCTGGTATTTTCTTTGATGCAACTCCCAGAATGTATCAAGTCCTGTGGCTCTGAATACAGATGACACGAAGACCAAAAGGAGCAGTCTCTTAGCTTACAGCCCCCCACCCCACCGAGCCTCTTTAGCCAATCTCAGACCCCAGAGTTCTCTGTGTCTTTTTCCAGGCCCACGCTGCACATACAGTCTCCTGCTTGGCTTTCTTGCCTCTCACCTCTCCATCCTTGTCTGCTCTCCATTATCTCGCTTCACCCACCCGCACTGGGTCATAATGCCTGGCTGAACCCTCTGCCCACATGGGGCTAGTTTCTATGAGGCTTGCACAGGCCCCTCGACTGTCTCTGACATAGAGGATTCATTCCCGTATCAGTTTGCTCTTAACCCATGGTGAGGTTTCACTCGGCTCATAGCAGTAATAACTCCTAGTTCTTATCATCACTGGATCTCAAAGTGCTTAACAAATGGGGAAACTGAGGCACAGACCAGGGAAGACCAAAGTCACCTGTCAGGCCAGTGACAGAGCCAGAAATAAAAGCCACATCGCCTGAGCCCCAGCCCAGTGCTCTATCCACTAGGCCTAGATGATCTCATCACAGAGGTGAAAGAAGAAGACGGAAAGCATATAGCAGTGTTGAAATTTACCCGACTGGGAGGGACACCTGCTTCCTTAGGCTCTATGCTGGCCCTGTGCTGTTGATAACTAGAGGGATGCAAATTGCAGGAGCTGCCAGTCCCCTTCATTGGGCTTAAATTCACCCTCAAATGTAAGAAGCGTGTCTGCTTCTGCCCAGTATAAGCCCAGGCTCTTTGGGCCACACGTGGCCCTGGGAAACGTTCAGAACAGAACCCCAGAGGTCTTGGGAGGGAGGGGGAGTTAGGTGTCTTATCTGCAAGGATATGGGCCTGGGCTCTAGATTCTAAAGCCAGCAGGGCCCTTCAGGATTAGCCACCCTCATCTCCTGCACATCCCAGGCCAGAAATGCCCCCCTGAACAGAGCTGGTGGCCGAGTCAAAGCTGTTCCTTGGGTATGGCAAATGGGAGTGACCACTCCGGGCCCTGCACTTTTGGGGGGGGGTGCCTCAGGCCAGTGTGATTGGCTGGTGCCAGAAACCCTGGGCGCACGGGGCTGCAGCCAGAACCCTGGGCATGGGGCGACAACTGAGACCCTGCTGCACAGGACTGGCAGCCAGGACCCTGGGCGCATGGGGCAGCAGCCAGAGCTCAGGGCATGCGGGGCCATCAACCGGGACCCTGGGCATTGGGCTTGCAGATGGGAGCCTGGGGGAGCTGCAGCCCCCCCCCCCCCGTAGTTCCTGCGCCTATGGCAGGGGCTGACTTGTCCCGGGCCCCACACCCCCTGATGGACGGCCCTGGCCAGAGCAGAGCTTGGAGGGAAGAGACTCAGGTCTTGTCTGCACACAAACGTTCTGTTCTTGCTACGTGCTTAAAGCAAGTATCCACCTGCTTAAAGATTAGGTCTGTTTGGGGAGCTGAGCCAAGTGGCCTGCTAGGTTTGGCTGAGAGCTGTCGACCGAGGCTTGAGCCTGCCTCCCTCACCCTTGGCAAGCGGGCTGTGACATACAAGATACTCACTAATCTGGATTGTAGCTGTGTCACCCCTGCCCTCTAACCTGGGTACCCTTTACCTTGCTTTGCTGCTATACCCTCCTGCCTGGATTGCTCACAAAGAACCTCCAGCGTGCAAGTCACTCCCAGCTATGCCTGTGCTTCTGCTGTTGTCACACCCTGGCTCTTACCAGCCCTGGTTAATTTGCTGGGTGACCCCAACACACTCCCAGCATTAGATTTTCCCCCAGAAATGTCTGTCCTGTACTGCCTAGTCCTCCCCTGGACAATGCAAATTATACAAAGTCTGTTGTTGCTTTAATAGAAATAATAGGCACGCAACTTGCCACCCCAAATGAAGTTGCCCAGACACTTTAGTTCAAACACATGGGATTAGATCAAACAGAGAAACAAGTTTATTAACTACAAAGAGAGAGGTTTGAAGTGAGAACAAGTAATGAGGCATAAAAGCCAGAAATGGTTACAAGAAAAGTAAAGATAAAATGCAACCAATGCTTAATTTAACAAACTCCGCTAAATTCAACTGAAAGATCTCTCATCAGATGCTTTCAGTAGTTTTATTGACTAAACTTCTTAGGTCAGGACCCCTTCTCCCCAGAATGCCTCTTATTGCTTCAGATGCCATGAATGCAAAGAGCAGGGGGGGAGGGGGTGTCAGTCACCCTCTTAAAAAGCCTTTCCAGCTGAGATTCAGGAGAGAAAGTGTCTATTAGGAAGGATGTTCCCTGCTTTTTCCCTCACCTGTTTAAGAGCCCTTTCTTTTCCTTCCTGCTTGATTACTTTGTTTATTGCTTAAATGCAAACTAAGCAGAGCCAGTATTCCTTTGATCTGGAAAAAGAGGTAAACAGGGAAGTGGCAAAATTTGCCGAGGATACAAAATGACTCAAGTTAGTTAAGTCCAAAGCAGACCGTAAAGAGTTACAAAGGGACCTCACAAAACTGCGTGACTGGGCAACAAAATGGCAGATGCATCAGTCAATTCAGAGGGTCTTTCAGGGCAGCCCTGGGGAATCTCTAGCTTCCTTAGGAGTTCAACCAGCCAAAAAGACAGAAAATATTCCTGTGGCTGTGTTTGATTTCCTTCCTTCAGTTTCCAAGCTCACAGATTGAGCTTCCTGGCACATAGCAATTCTTAAGTGCTGGAAAGGGCCATTAACCAATCCTTTGTATTGCAATGATCCTTGCTGGCCTGTAGCAGGGCATGGCTCACCAGTGCAGTGCCTCCCGCTGGTCATCCTGGGAATTAGCTCTCTAGCTTTCAGAGCACCCTCTGCAGGCTGGTGTCCCGCTTGCCTCAGGCCTCCATGTCCCTCCCAGAGCCCGTTGCCCCTTCCCTCAGGGTTCTGCCCTCTGCAGACCCCCCACAGTCTCTGGGTTTCCCCCACCCTCTATCCCCACCTTGCCTCAGCAGCTACTGCCAGTCCTCATCTAGCCCACGCACACTGGAGCAGACTGCAGTCTGTACCACTCATCATCAGCAAGGAGAGTTTGGACCTGCTGCCTTTGCCTAAACTTGGGCTGCTGCTCTGCAACCCCAGTACTTGCTTTAGGCCTGCAGGAAGGGGGCTTTCCAGCCTGGAGCTCCCCAACTCCTCTGGCCTTTCCCCAGCCCTGCTTCGCTCTGGGTACACTAGTAAGCTAGCCAGGCCCATCTCTCTCCACAGCTAGAGAGAGACTGCCTGAGCACCTGGCTCATAGCCTGTTATAAGGCCAGCTGTGGCCTGATTGGGGCGTGGCCCCAGCTGTGGCTGCCTTCCCCATCAGCCTAGCCTTTGGCTCCCCCAGGGCAGTCCTGTCCGTCCCGCTACCCCCCCGGAGCTGTTTTAACCCCATCTGACCAACCCGCTCCATGGCCCATCTGCTTTCGACAGTCCCTCTGGCAGGGAAGGCGGGGTGTGGGGTGGGAGACGATTCCGGTGGCTGTGTTCACAAGTTCAGAGAGAATGTTTTCAAAGTTGTAAAGCAAACTGGAGATATTTTCTTACAGCATGGCATATGGGCATTGCACGTGGGATTAATGCCTTAATCCCCCCCTCCCCCGCCTTGCACACCAGGAATCTGTCCCCCCTCCAACTTGCCTTGTGCTTTCACCTGGGTCCAACCTCTCCCTGGGCCAGAGATTCCAAGGCCAGGAGGGGCCATTGGGACCATCTAGGCTGACCCGCTGGATGACTCAGGCCATAGGATGGCGCTGGGTTAATTCCCGGTTGAGCCAGAGAAAAACAGCCCGCCTTGATTGAGAAAAGTGCCAGGGACGGAGAATCCACCCCAGCCCTCGGTGAACTGCTCCCTCCCTGGTAATGGAAGTAGCGGCCGTATAAGATACGTCACTGGATGTATGGAAATACCTAGCGTGTGCGGGCATGTGGCCCCTCGACAGCCATTAACACGAGGCGGGGAGATACATCCCGTGTCCCTCTGATTCCAACAGAACAGGGCCAGGTTCCCATGTCTTAGCCCTCAGGAGCAGGGGAATTGGGCATTCTCGGGGGCTCTCCCCCCGATCGCAGGGGCCCACCAGATCCTCCGGTCTGACCTGCAGATCCCAGGCCAGTGACCCCCTCCCAGCTTCCCGCTCACCAAATCAAAGAGCAGAATTCGACCCCCGAAGCCCAAGCCCCTGTAGCGGGTTGGCCATATGCTGAGCTCTGGTTTCCCTCCGTGCAGCCGCGCTGATGGAGTATGGAGACGGGGGAGCACTGACGGCCCAGCGAGGCACCTGGATTAACATGGCCAGAGCCCCACCTACCACCAACGCCTTCCCCAACTCGTCCTTCCCGCCCGTCACTCCCCCGCCCTGCCCGGGGGCATCGAACGGGAGCTTGCCCGGCCTGGACGTGCCCTACTTCCTGACGGAGACCGTCACAGCGGTGCTGTCCGTCGCGGGCAACCTCTTCATTTGCACTGTCATCCTGCGGGACAGGAAGCTGCGCGCCGTGGTGACCAACCACTTCCTGGTCTCGCTGGCCGCGGCCGACATCCTGGTGGGGGCCGTGGCCATCCCCTGCGCCCAGATGGCGGATGCGGGGCTGCCGCGGGGCCGGCCGACTCTGTGCTTGCTGATGCTCTGCACCCTGCTGATCTTCACGCAGGCCTCGGTCTTCGGCCTGCTGGCCATTGCAGTGGAGCGGTACATCTCCATCCTCAAGCCCTTCCAGTACCCATCCCTCATGAGCCCCCAGAACTCGCTCCTAGTCATCCTGAGCAGCTGGGTGCTGGCCACCTTCATTGGGGCACTGCCCCTCATGGGCTGGCATAAACCCTTCCCGCCCGACGGCCAGTGCAAATTCAACGCCTTCATCGAGGACACCTTCGAGGTCTATTTTAAGTTCATGGCCTGCATGCTGGTGCCGCTGGCCATCATGCTGGTCCTCTACGGCCGTATCTTCCTGGAGGCCAAGCGGCAGATCCGCAAGGTGGCCGAGCGGGAGGTTGAGGTGAGCCGGCAGGCCCGACGCCGCCGTGTCCTGCACAAGGAGCTGCGGCTGGCCACCTCGCTCTTCATCATCCTCTTCTGCTTCGCCTTCTGCTGGCTGCCCCTCCACGTCATCAACACCCTCCAGCTCGTCTGCCCCGGCTGCCCCATCCCCAGCCCGCTCGTGCTGGCGACCATCGTCCTGTCCCACGCCAACTCCGCCATCAACCCCGTGGTGTACGTCTTCCGCATGCGCTCCTTCCGCCAGGCCTTCACGGCCACCTTCCCCTGCACATGGCACCCTCTGCCCGCCTCCGCCCCAGGCAAGTTCTCCGCCTCCGGACTCACGCCGTCCAACAGGCTGGAGCTGGCCAGCCACAACAGCCCCCTACCAGGGAAGTGACGTGGGTTGGTGGCCCACGGGATTGGCCCCCCTGGGACTCCCGGAGCCTCTTTCATACCTAGAGGGTCACCGCTGAGCTAAGACTATCACTGGTCCCTAGGGGGAGTAGGACCCCCCCACCCTGCGGCCCCCCGGGCTAGGGACAGGAGAGATGGGAGAAGAACCCAGGAGTCCTGGCTCCCAGTCCCCTCACTTTAACCCACTAGACCAGCGGTTCTCAAACTGTGGATCATGACCCATGCCTTGGATGGGGTCGCCAGGGCTGGCTTAGACTGGCTGGGGCCCGGGGCCGAAGCCAAAGCCCGAGGGCTGCAGGACGCAGGTTGCATGCCCCCTGCCTGGGGCTAAAGCCCTTGAGCTTCAGCTTTGGGCCCCTGCCCAGAGCAGTGGGGCTCGGGCTTTGGCCCCCACCCCACCCTGGGGCAGTGGAGCTCGGGCGGGCTCAGGCTTCGGTCCCCTCTCCCGGGGTCGTGAAGTGATTTTGTTGTCAGAAGGGGGTCGCGGTGCAATGAAGTTTGAGAACCCCGACACTAGACCACGGGTGGCAGGTATAAGAGGCCGGGGGGGGCTAAGCCTCCCCTAAACAGGATGCAGTGCCCCTCCCTCTGGAGGCGCGCTGGCCCACCCCCTTTGGAGTGCTGCCCCCGAAAGGGCTCCCATGCTTCGCCCTGAGGCCCCGCCCCCACTCAGCCTCTTCCCCCATGGCCCCGCCCATGTTGCTCCTTTTCCCGCCCCCACTCAGCCTCTTCCCCCCAAGGTCCCACCCTCGCTCCGCCTCTTCCCCCAAGAATCCTCCACCCCGGGGCGGAGGGTCCTCGGGGGAGGGGGCCAAGCAGGAGCAGGGCCTGGGGTGGAGCCTCAGGGGGAGGAGGCCGAGCGGGGGTGGACCTCGGGGCGCAGCAGGGGGCAGGGTCATGATCCGGTCGCCCCCCCTCCACACTTTTAGGGAGTATCCTATGCTCATGCCCAGCCTCCCCAAACATGGGAGTCACACGCTGCCCATGCACTAGACCTCACTCCCTGCTCAAAGCCAGGGCTAGAACCCAGGAGTCCTGGCTCCCAGCCCCCCCGCTCTAACCCACTAGACCCCACTCCCCTCCCAGAGCTGGGAACAGAACCCAGGAGTCCTAACTCCCAGCTCCCCCCCCCCCCACAGCTCTGACCCCTGAACCGCTCTCCCAGAGACAGCCACATACGTTTTGCAAAGCCCACTCCCTGTAGCGATGTCCCCCCCCGCCCCCTCCAGGTTTCTTCTTTCCTTCTGGGTTTGGATGGGGTTGGTTCCCCAAAGTGGTGGCCACCCCCATCCCCACCCCACGCCCTCGGGCCAGCGCAGGAGAACCCAAGAGGGAACTGGCCCAGCCTGTGTCCTTGGCCCCTGGCGGGAGAAAAGCAGCGAGGGAAGCAGCGGCGCCAGGCCATCTGGGTTTGCCAGGTGATGCAGGCGAGGCCGAGGGGCCGGGGGGTGGAATTTCTCCTCCCAGGGCTCCAGCAAGCAGCTATCTGCAGCTAGGTTGGTTCAGCCTTTCAGCTCTCCTCTGTGCCAGCCCGGCGGGACCCTCGGGCCAGGCAGCGGCTCCAGCCTGTTCCTGGATCATCTCATTAAAGGCATCTCCCTGCTGAATTCACGGCTGCTCTGTCCGTCAGGGGGTTGCGGGGAGGGGAGGGTATGGGGCATGGGGCAGTGCCGGGCTGGGCGTGTGAATGCGCCCATGTGTGGGGCGGTGCTGGGCTGTGTATTCATTTTGGTGCGCCAGGGACGCCCCCTCACCCTGCCCCATGGCATGCCTGCAGTGCTGCTGTTTCCCACCAGGGGGCGCTGTGGCACCACAGCTGTATTAGGCACAGCTGACCCCAGTCGGCAGAGACCCCTGGGCCCACAGACCCCCATCTGCACAGCTTGGGGGGGGGTGGTGGCCAGGCTGTGGGGACCCAGTTGCCTCCCCTCCACAGATCTGGGTGGATACCAGAGTTCGGGGAGGGGAGCCTAGTCCCAGATCCCAGCCTGGCAGCCCCATCCGTGCCAGCGTTGTGCCCCCCAGATCCTCTGGCGTGGGCTCCCCACAGGCGTCGGGCTGGATCCTGCTAGGGGCAGCCTGGAGCCCTGCAGACGAGCACACAGGGGTCTGGCTTCCACCCATGCCAGGCCCTGCTCCGCAGCCTCTCCTAGCGAGGGCGCTTCGTGGGGCTGCCCGGACCCCCTCCTGTGGCCGTGGGAGGGGCTGGATTGTCGGGGAGAGGGCTGAGATGGATGGGCAGAGGGAGGAATGGGGTGGGGAGGGGAACACCGAGGGCTGGGGGGAAGGAAGAGATGGGGGCGGTAGAGCGGGTGGGGGGAGAGACAAAGGAAGGTGCAGAGCTGCAGTTGGGGGGGCGGGGAGGGGCATATTCACACACATGCTGTCCCCCATGAGACGGGTGGTTTCCTGAGTCATGCAGCCCGGCAGAGGCCCGGCCCGGAGGAGCCGCTGGCAGCCAGTGTGGGCCAGTATCCCCAAAGCAGGCAGGGGATGTAGCTGGACTCTGCATCCTGATGGTGCCCAGATCACACCTGGGGCTCCCCGCCCAGCCGGTTCCCCAGCTCCCAGTGAGGGTGGGCAAAGGGCAACCACGGGGCATAGCCAACACCAGCCAGCGGCCAGGTTTGCAGCTCACTGGCACGTGTGCGTGGGGGGAGGGGGGCAGTGGGGAACTCGGCCCCTCCAACAAATCCTGCATGTGATCTGGGCAGTGAGTTTGGCAGAGGCCCAGCTCAGAAGCCCCCTTCCCCCACTCCCGGCCAGTCCCCAGACAGTGGACAGCACATCTGTGCATGGGTGGAGAGCCAGGCTGCTGCAGGCTGGGGCATCACCACAAGCAAATCAGCAGGGGGCGCTCTCCCCTCGCAGTCAGGGCAGGCCCCAGTGCAATGCTGTGGGGTGCTGTGCTCCAGGGAATGGGGCGGGGTGCCCTTCCCTTGAATGGTGGCATTTCACTGCTAGGTGAGTCATTCCTACGTTTGCACCTGGCACACGGACCCTGCTCTGGGACTGGTGCCCCCAGGCAGTCCTACCACACAAATAATAAACCACTGCCATGCCCCCACCTTAGAGGTGGCTGCATCTCAGTGCTAGGTGAGGGAGCCCTGTATAAACAGCTTCCATGCCCCACCACAAAGGTGGCTGCATCTCAGTGCTAGGTGAGGTATTCCTTATAAATAACTGCCACAACCCCACCCTAGAGGTGGCTGCTTCATGGTGCTGGGTGCAGGTCCATTAAGAGAAATTTAGGTCCCTGGTACACCATGTTGGCTGGGGCCCCACCTCCCCCCAGTTATAGACATTTTGGGAGCCCCTCATGCTCAGGGAGGCCGGTACAATAGGCCCCCTTTCATCTCATCTTATCAGCCCTGACTGGGTGAGGGATCCCTGTATAAACAGCCTCTGCACCCCGACCCCAGAGGTGGCCGCATCTCAGCCCACCTGGAACAATCCCACCTGTGTTGCAGTTCCCAGGACCTAGCTCTGCCTCTCTGGGCATCTCTGCCACGTGCCGGGGTGAGAGGAAGCAGCTCGATATGGAGGCTCGGGTTCGGCGCAGGCCGCGGCTTGGATTTCGCCTTGTCAGGTGCTTTTCCTTCACCTCCCCCAGTGGCGGCGACAGGAGGGAAGGGGATGATTTGGCCCGGAGGAGGCGCAGCAGCAAAGGGCCGGGGTGGCTGAGCCAGCATGGCCTTATCACAATGAAAGTCCGACCCTGGAGCCAGGCCGGAGCTCTGGTTGCGGCGGGGGGGGGGGGGGAGGGAGGGAATCGATCCCTCGCCCGCTGGGATCCTGCAGATGGAACCTAATGGCGCTGCAATGGGGGCCAGTGACACCCCTCCACCCGCTGCAGCGCTGCATCCCTTCCCCTCTCTGGGTCCCCCCCAGCTGTCTCTTGTGCCAGGATCTGTGGGGAGACAGGCACAAGGGGGGTCGTCTGGCCAGGCCACCAGGCAGGAATCCAGTCCCCCATCCCCTGGGAGTTAACTGAGTCCAGAATCTTTCAGCGGGGCTGGGAAGTGACCACCCGCTCCATCCCCAGGGGCAAGAAGGCTCCAGCTCCGACACACCCCAGCTCCCAGGGAGGCACTGGTGCCCAGCTAGCACCGGACAAGTCCCCAAGGGTGCCAGAAGCCAGGGTGCTGGCAGAAGTGTGGGCCTGGCTGTTTCCCTGCCCAGGGCTGGGTCCAATCGGGGAGGGTCAGACCTGCCAGGCAAGGAAGTGCCGGGTGCAATGTGGAGCCAGCGTCAGCCAGCACCGGGTGGGGTGGGTCTGGTCTGACATACACAGCTGCTCCCTCTGCCCCATGTCATGTTGTTGCCCCTTCCCATCAGCCCAGGCCCATCTCTCCTTTCCTGAGCCCCTGCCCATCGCCCCAGCTGAGCAAGAGATGTCCTGCCAAACAGCCCATCTGCCCCCGATCAATAATTCATCCCCCCGGCGGCAGCAGGGGGGCGCATCCTCCTGCCAGCAGTAACCGATCTGGCCCAGTGGCTGCGCGGCGAGAAAGGGGCTGTTCTGTGTGAGAGCAACACAAAGTCACTTTGAGAGCGGAGCAGAGCACGGGGGCCCCGCGGGGGTCGAGTTTCACTGGCTGAGGAGCAGCTGGGCCCAGGGGTAAGCTCATGCTGAGACAGCGCTGAGGAAGAGATGCCCGCGGATCCAGCAGCACCGACCCACGGTGGCTCCGGGCACAAAGGAAGAGTATGGGGCTCGCTGGCTCAGAGGGGCAGGGAATGGGACCTTTCGCCTCTAGCCCAGGGGGTCTCAACCTCTCTTTCTGAGGCCCCCCGAACAGGCTATAACAGCTCCCCAGCCCACCTGTGCCCAGCAAGGGGGTTTCAGCACCGCTAGTAGCCGAAGAGCTGTATTTAATGGCAAGCTAGTTACACCCCCCTGCCTAGAACACACAAAGGGAGAATATAGGGACAAAAATAAACCCGGCCCAGGGCTTAAGACGGGTTTATTTTGGTGGACCCCCTGAAACCTGCTTGAGGCCCAGACCCCCAGCTGAGAACCGCTGCTCTATGGGGTGCTGATCCAGCCACATGGGTAGGGAATGGGACATGGGGCCTTTCCCCCATGGGGGTGCTGGCTCCCATCTGGCCCCTGGGGGCGGGGTCTGGCTGGCACAGGGGGTAGGAAATGGGACCGTTCCAGATAATTCTCCCATTCAAAGCCACCCCAACAGGCCAGTATGGCCCATCAGTTGCTTCCCCAGCTGCCACATGGTGGCCCCCGTAAAGGAGTTGGGAGTCTCCCTCCCCCCCTCAGAGTGTCAGCTGTTACCATCCCAACAGACTCTCAGTGGCTGCCCCCAGCCAGCCCAGGAGGCTGCCCCTCCTCCCAACCCTAGCTGGGGCAGGGGGTGTTGACAGCGTAGGGCAAATCAGCCCAGCCTGCCGCTGCTGCTCAGTTGACAGAGGCCATCAGGCTCCAGGGCCCTTGAGCCAGTGCCTGGGCCCAGCCCTGCATCCAGTCACAGCTTTGTAAGGACGCCGCAGTCCCCCGCAGCCTGCCCTGCCCACAGGTCGCCCACCCTTGTGGCATCTGGCCCCCTTCGGCTCCTCACACAGAGATCAGCTCTGGGGAGGGGAGGAGCCAGAGCTGCAGGGAAGAATGTAGCTCCCCGGGCTCCTTCTGATTCACAACCCACAGAAGCCAAACAGCTTGTTACCCGCAACGGGAAGATGGGAACCAAAGTTTAAAGCATGTGGGTCCCATCCCTGCCCCATCCAACCGCCCCTTTCTGGAGGGGAAGCAGAGGAGTGTGGGTCTAACTCTGGAACACGCCTTCGGACTCCCAGACTATTTACAGCCAGCAGTGGCCATCCTTTGCCCCAGCCTGGCTCCCATGACACGGTGCCTGCCAGCAGCCTGGCCCCCACATGGAACTTGCCAGCAAGATTCACCCCATGGCACCGGCCACGCTACCTCCCCACCCCGAAGCAGGCAAGAGCCAGCTGAAATCAAACTGGTTTATTACAAAAGTTCCTGATGCTGCAAGGAGAGGAGCTGCCCTGGAGGCTGGAGCAACAACGTACAAGACCCCGCTCCTGAAACTGTCCCATGGATGCCAGGAACCCGGGACACAAGGATCCACTAGCTCGGATGCCGCTGGAGGATCAGGGCCAGGGGAGCTGTCGACACCAGGGATTTCTGTACTGACGAGCTGTGGGAGTGTACCAGGCATGACTTATCCCCAGCCCAGAGGCTACTTGGTCCCTGTCCCGCTTTACAGCTGAGTAGTAAGGAACGACCCTTCGCACCTCAGCTAGTGCTGCTGGAACAAAGCCAAGGCTGACGCCACCGTGAAGCTGTCTACACTAGGAGCTGAGCGGTGTTTCAAATCCCATTCGTGAACTCGTCTTCCCTGGCGCCTTGCTCAGCTGGAAAGCGGGACCCGAACTCACGTACAACTGCTGCTGGTCTGGCTGGTGTCTGGGGAAGCGGAGGTTCAAGAGGGGCAGCAGTCACGCGCTCCTGGTGCCTCTCTGTGGGGCATTTGCGGCAGGGTAGCTATGCAGTGCGGAAATTCCCAGGGTAGTCGGCCCCCACCCAAATCAGACAACTACAGCAGACAGCTCCCCTTCAAAAGACACCTTTGAAGAGCTGTTCAGAGACAATTCTGCTGAGAGGTCCCCCCTTCTGTTAGGCTGAGATTCCCAGTGCTTCTCTTTGTACCCAGCTCCCTTAGGAAACCTCAGCGCTCCCCACTCCTGGCAAGCAAGCCACAGAGCAGGCCCGTCGGGAGGCCTAAGAGCTAAAGAGCCTCTCACCTCGATGTAGCCTCCCCCAGGGCCAGCTGAGTCTGCAGCACCCAGCAGCAAGGCTGTGAGTGGGCACAGAGATCCTGGGTAAATCCAGAGCAGCGGCGCTGGGACACTGGCTCCCTTCAGCTTTGGGCAGGTGGGTGAGGGGCGTGGGGGGACACCAGCCTGTGACGGGCTTACAGCAGCTGGGGTCTCCTGACTAGTTCTGCTCCCAGAAACCCCCTTCCAATCAAATGGGAACGTGGGAGCTGGAGGTAGCAACAGAGAGGGCGGGGGGAGCTGTGCTCAGCCCTCGGCGCTCTGAGGGCTAATAAGGGAGGTACAGGTGGCACCTGGGGAGAGCTCAGCAGAGTTGTTTCTGAACAGGATGGTTTTCACAAGTGATGCAGCCAGTAGGCTTCATCCAGAGGGACTTGAGGCAGGTTCCCCGCTCAGCCTGGCTCTGGGTCATGCCAGGGCGAGGCTGGGACCTTGGGACAGTTCTCTATTTGCCAGCAATGAGGGGGTTCCTCAGCACCACAATGACGGAGTCCCCCCGCAGGAACATCTTGGAGATGTAGCGATCCTTGTTGACGGGCTTCGATTTCTTTTTTCCCTTGCCACTCTTGGGCACCTCCGTCCACATCTCCTTGACGTTCTCCAGCACCATGTTACAGTGCCTGGAGGGAGAGAGCGGGGGATCAGGGACACAGCAGTGGAGCTGGGAGTAACCACTGACAACCTAGACCCCATGGCCAGAGAGGAAGCTGCTCACTGCAGCCTGACCTGGCATCCCCTCTGCTAAGCCTGTTGCGCTGAGCTCATTCCTGCTGGAATCAACTACTTAGTGCAGCAGTCAGGTTCTAGCAAGGAGGTGGTGGGGGAGAAACTGTAGCTCGCTCCATGCTCCCTCCCAGACCTGGAAATACATCCCAGCAGTCCTGCCACTCAGTGCCCCCGCCATGACACTAACCACTAGGCCACCCTCCCACAGCAGGGTATAGAACCCAGCAACGCCGGCTCCCAGCCCCCCTGCTCTGACCTCTGGACAGCATCCCACCTGCTCTGTACTGCGCAACGGGCGGGGGACCCTTCTGCTCTTGCTGGGGAACGGGACAGACATAAACCGCAGCCCCCTGGGGGCAGGCTGGGAAGGAAGGGCCCCAGAGGTATTTTAAATGTATGGGGGGAGGAAACCGCACCTGTCAAAGGCCTTGACACGTCCCAGCAGCTTCTTGTTGTTGCGACAGTTGATCAGCACCTGGGTGTTGTTCTTGACTGACTGGGTGAGGACAGACAGGGGCCCTGTGTTGAACTCCTCCTCCTCCCGCTTCTGCAGCTCCTCGGGGGTCATCTCGCTCTTGGGCTTGTTTAAGAGGCTCCTGCAGGCGCAGAAGGGGAAGACACGGCATTCATGGAGCCTCTGCCACACCCTTCTCCTCCTGCCGCCTCATCTGGGGTGTCCTGGCAGGGCGAAGGGCCCATCCCTCGGACTGCCTTGTCCCTGACAGCCCACGACGACATGGCACTACCAAGCTAGGGGGTTCAGGCCTCGCTTCCCCATAACCCACCTCTAGGTACCTCTACACAGCAGTCGTGGTGTGATTCCCAGCTCGCCTGGATGTACATGCGATAGGGTCTGCTTGAGCTAGTGTGTCTGTGGTGGACCGGGCTAGCTGTCCCAGTATCTGCCTAGGGTCTCTGACAGGCTTGTTCTTGGTGCAGCTAGGCATTTCGAGCTGAGCTAGCATGTGTACGGCTAGACAAGTGGGAATCACCTCCCAGCTGCAGTGGAGAGGTATGCTAAGGCTTGCTCTATATGCTGTAAAGCTGCCCGGCCAGAATGTGTCAATTTAGATGAAATTTCATTTAGAGCAAAATGTACCAAAGTGTTTCCATCAGACCCAGCACTCTATTTCAACCTGCCCGGAACGTTTGGAGTTTTCCTTTCAAAACCCGTGTTATAAATGATACAAACCAAACAAAGTCCTAGTAAAATGCCTCGATTTCACTCCACCTGAAATTTCAGAAGTTCAGTTTTGCTGCAGCTGGGAATTGGAACATTTCAAAGTGTCAATACTTCCCGCAGAACAGAGATTCCTAGACTGGATCAGCTCTACCGCCGCCCTGGGATCTGCCCTGCGAGTGCCACACTGCCCTTCGGCCGGGACCCCTCAACTGTCTCAGCGAGAGCGGGTGGCATGTGTTTCTGCCTAAATGGGGGAGGGGGAGAGAGGCTCTAGCCCCCTTCCCCACGCTTTCTCATCTTCCAGTCAGGAGTGATGTTAATCAAACCTCCCCTTTGTTACCCCAACTCTCCCTTCCCAGGATCCCCAGCAACATCTCTTCTGAGGGCAGGGCATCTGCCATCCCACCCCAGAGCCTGGGCAAGGAGACCTCTGGGCCAATGCCCCCCTATGGAGGGGAGATGAACACGCGATCAGGGAACCTTCCCCGACCCTGATCCCCAGGACAAGGTGGAGGCGGCTTCCCCCATCACTACCATCAGACGAGTGGGAGGATTAGGGCTCAGGGGGCCCAGGCGCTCAATCCCCTCGCCCTTCGGGTCCTGGGAGTGCTGGGGAATGGATGGCGTCTGCTCCGTTTCCCTCTATCTCCCCCCCCAGCCAGGCCCCCTCACCTCTACCCCTCTTACCCCCCGCCGCAGCTGCCACCCTCACTTCCGCTGCCCCTTCCTACCAGCCTCTACCCCATTCCCCCCATCTACCCCCTCCCTTCCCCCAGCCTCTGCCCCACTTCCCCCCAGCCTCTGCCCCCCTTCCCCCAAGCCTCTGCCCCCTCCCTTCCCCTGCCCCCTCCCTTCCCCCAGCCTCTGCTCCCTCCCTTCCCTTGCCCCAGCCTCTGCCCCACTTCCCCCCAGCCTCTGCCCCCCCTTCCCCTGCCCCCAGCCTCTGCCCCACTCCCCCCAAGCCTCTGCCCCCTCCCTTCCCCTGCCCCCAGCCTCTGCCCCACTTCCCCCCAGCCTCTGCTCCCCCTTCCCCTGCCCCAGCCTCTGCTCCCTCCCAGCCTCTGCCCCACTTCCCCCTTCCCCTGCCCCCAGCCTCTGCCCCCCCTTCCCCCAGCCTCTGCTCCCTCCCTTCCCTTGCCCCAGCCTCTGCCCCACTTCCCCCCAGCCTCTGCCCCACTTCCCCCCTTCCCCTGCCCCCAGCCTCTGCCCCCCTTCCCCCCAGCCTCTGCCCCCCTTCCCCTGCCCCCAGCCTCTGCCCCACTTCCCCCCAGACTCTCCCCCCTTCCCCTGCCCCCAGCCTCTGCCCCCCCTTCCCCCAGCCTCTGCCCCACTCCCCCCAGCCTCTGCTCCCTCCCTTCCCCTGCCCCCAGCCTCTGCCCCACTTCCCCCAGCCTCTGCCCCTCCCTTCCCCTGCCCCCAGCCTCTGCCCCACTTCCCCCCAGACTCTCCCCCCTTCCCCTGCCCCCAGCCTCTGCCCCCCCTTCCCCCAGGCCTCTGCCCCCTCCCTTCCCCTGCCCCCCCCCTCTGCCCCACTCCCCCCGCTCCTCTGGCCTCCTCACATGACGCCGCCGCTCCCGCTCTCACACACGCGCCGCCGAGAATCTCGCGCCGCTGCCGCTGCCGGGACCTTCCGCTTCCGGGTCACGGGTGCGAAAGGGGGACGGCGCGCGTTCGCACTTGCCCAGCCTGGCGTGGGGGGTGGGGAGCGGCGCCTCCGAGGCCGCACTTCCGGCTTCCGAGCGGCCGCGCGCCTCCCGCTACGAGGCGGCCGGAGGGTCCAGAGAGCGCGGAACGCGAAGGGGCCGCTGCCCACCCTGGGGCTCCGTCTGGCTGCAAGCAGGGGAGGGCGGGGCCAGACTCAATCGGGGCGGGGCCAGACCCCCCAGGGGGCGGGGCCTCAACCCAAGGGGCGGAGTTTGCAGCTGGGACAAAGTGACCCAGGCTGGCCCCAGCAAAGGGGGAGTGAGGGGGCAGCCCCGGGACCCCGGCTGCCCCTGCAAAGCGACGGGGTCTGAGCCAGCTGGTACCGCGCCTGAGGGAGAGCCTGGGGGTCCCCCCGACACCCCGCCGGACACCCGGCCCAACGTGGGGAACCGGGGGGAGCGGGGTGGATCCTGGACGGCACGTATCACGACGACGCTCTGTCGAGCCACGGCGCGGCCCCGTCCCCGCCAGGAGAGAGGAGCCCAGGCGAAGGTGCAGAGAAGGGCACCACAAGGGGTTAGGGGGCTGGAACGGCTGCCCTATGAGGAGAGATTAATGAGACGGGGCCTGTTGAGCTTGGAAAGGAGACGGCTAACGGGGGGGGGACGACATCGCGGAGGTCTGTACCGTCATGCCTGGGGTGGAGAACGTGACTCGGGAAGGGTTATTTACTCTTCGTAACACAAGAATTAGGGGGTCACCCAATGAAATTAATAGGCAGCAGGTTGAAACCAAACAGAAGGAAGTATTTCTTCACACAACGCACAGTCAACCTGTGGAACTCCTTGCCAGGGGATGCGGTGAAGGCCAAAAGTATAACAGGGTTCAAAAAAGAACTCAGTAAGTTCCTGGAAGACAGGTCCATCGATGGCTATTAGTCAGGATGCTCAGGGACACAACCCCATGCTCTGGGTGTCCCTAAAACTCTGACTGCCAGAAGCTGGGAGTGGACGACAGGGGATGGATCACTTGGTAATTGCCCTGCTCTGGTCATTAACTCTGAAGCATCTGGCACCGGCCACTGAGGGAAGACAAAAAGAAAAGGAGGACTTGTGGCACCTTAGAGACTAACCAATTTATTTGAGCATGAGTAGCTCACGAAAGCTCATGCTCAAATAAATTGGTTAGTCTCTAAGGTGCCACAAGTCCTCCTTTTCTTTTTGCGAATACAGACTAACACGGCTGTTACTCTGAAACCTGAGGGAAGACAGGATACTGGACTAGAGGGACCTTTGGTCTGACCTAATATGGCCGTTCTCATGTTCTTATGTAACCAGTGATTTGAAAATAAATTAAACTGGGAAATTGAGTAGCCAGTGTCAGGCGATGGGGGGGACGATTTGAAGGGACTGGGTCGCACCTAGTGCTAACCTGCAAGGCAAAGCCAGGGCTGGCCTAGGGGAAGGCTGAATAGCAGGCTATGTTGATGCAAACCATGTGGCTTCCTTGTGCAGGATCAGGACCTGGTTAAGCCATGTGGATCCCATGCAGGATCAGGGGCAGGATCAGGCCCCAGTGGTCTAACTCCATAGCCCTGCAGTGGACAGATAGTCCAGCCCCATAGCCTTGCAGTGGGCATATAGCCTGGGGATGGGGGACAGGATCAGGCCCTAGCAGCCCAGCTCCATAGATCTGGGATTGGGGAGGTTGTCCTCATGTTTTCTCTCTCCTCCTATGGGATCCCCTGTCCCATTTTGGTGTGTAGGGGGGCAAGGACATGGGGTCTCCCTGGCCTGGCAGATCTGGGACCTTCACGGAACACATTTAAGCTCCTAAATGTCAACAGGCAATTCTGCAGGCAGCTGCCCGGGTCTATGTTTAATCAACAGCGGCCTCCGGTTACAGCCAGCTGCCTGCCCGTCTCGCCTGGCCATCCAGCTCCCTGTGCACCCCAAGCAGCTTCAGGGTGGTTTGGATTGGTGCCCTGGGCACTGGGCGGGTGCAGGGAGTGGGGCAGGCACCAGGGCCAAGTGTGCTTAGATTTCCCACTCGCTTCTCCCATCCTGCCACTGCCCACTTTGGACTCGGACAAGAGCCAGATAGATAGATAGGTAGATAGATTATTAGATTAGATAGATGGGGGTGTGTATGGGGATAGGTAGATGGATAGATAGATAAATGGGTGTGTATGGAGATAGATTAGATTAGCTATTAACAAACCTAGTAAAACTCACCGTTAATGTCTGACTTCTCTTTCCAAGTTTCTCCTTTGTGAAAATGCCCCTTTTGTGACCCCAAAGCTGGTGACGAGCCACCTGATCCGGTGCCCGACCCTGCAAGGGTCTTGCGCCCTCGGTATCTGGCTGGGTCGGGCTCCATACGTCTCTTTTCTTGTTCTCAGTCAGCTGCTCACACGGCGAGGGGCCAGCCCCTCCAGTGTTGTCAATTTCTGGCACTGTGCCCCAGCCGCTGGATTGGCAGCGATTTGCATCAGCAGAGAATTGGGCCCCAAGAGGGTTCAGGCCTGAGGAGAGCTCTCTGCCAGCTGCCCTCTGAGTCTGTCTGTCCCTCCGTACGTGAGAAGTCCAGAGTCCGTATTCTGCTGCTCTCCTTTCTTCCCTGTGTCAGGATCCTGAACTCGACCATTTCATGGTCACTGCCTCCCAGGTTCCCATCCACTTTTGCTTCCCCTACTAATTCTTCCCAGTTTGTGAGCAGCAGGTCAAGAAGAGCTCTGCCCCTACTTGGTTCTTCCAGCACTTGCACCAGGAAATTGTCCCCTACACTTTCCGAAAACTTCCTGGGTTGTCTGTGCACCTCTGTATTGCTCTCCCAGCAGATATCCGATGAAGTGAGCTGTAGCTCACGAAAGCTCATGCTCAAATAAATTGGTTAGTCTCTAAGGTGCCACAAGTACTCTTTTTCTTTTTGCGAATACAGACTAACACGGCTGTTACTCTGAAACCAGCAGATATCAGGGTGATTGAAGTTTCCCATGAGAACCAGGGCCTGCGATCTAGTAACTTCTGTGAGTTGCCGGAAGAAAGCCTCGTCCACCTCATCCCCCTGGTCTGGTGGTCTATAACAGACTCCCACCACGACATCACCCTTGTTGCTCACACTTCTAAACTTAATCCAGAGACACTCAGGTTTTTCTGCAGTTTCGTACCGGAGCTCTGAGCAGTCATACTGCTCCCTTACATACAGTGCAACTCCCCCACCTTTTCTGCCCTGCCTGTCCTTCCTGAACAGTTTATATCCATCCATGACAGTACTCCAGTCATGTGAGTTATCCCACCAAGTCTCTGTTATTCCAATCACATCATAATTCCTTGACTGTGCCAGGACTTCCAGTTCTCCCTGCTTGTTTCCCAGGCTTCTTGCATTTGTGTATAGGCACTTGAGATAACTTGCTGTTTGTCCTGCTTTCTTAGTATGAGGAAGGATCCCTCCCCTTTCGCGCTCTCCTGCTGGTGCTTCCTCCCGGTATCCCACGTCCCCACTTACCTCAGGGCTTTGGTCTCCTTCCCCCGGTGAACCTAGTTTAAAGCCCTCCTCACTAGGTTAGCCAGCCTGCTTGTGAAGATACTCTTCCCTCTCTTCGTTAGGTGGAGCCCGTCTCTGCCTAGCACTCTTCCTTCTTGGAACACCATCCCATGGTCAAAGAATCCAAAGCCTTCTCTCCGACACCACCTGCGTAGCCATTCGTTGACTTCCACGATTCAACGGTTTCTACCCAGGCCTTTTCCTTCCACGGGGAAGATGGACGAGAACATCACTTGCACCTCAAACTCCTTTATCCTTCTTCCCAGAGCCACGTAGTCCGCAGTGATCCGCTCAAGGTCATTCTTGGCAGTATCATTGGTGCCCACGTGGAGAAGCAGGAAGGGGTAGCGATCTGAGAGCTTGATGAGTCTCGGCAGTCTCTCCGTCACATTGTGAATCCTAGCTCCTGGCAAGCAGCAGACTTCTCGGTTTTCCCGGTCGGGGCGGCAGACAGATGACTCAGTCCCCCTGAGGAGAGAGTCCCCAACCACCACCACCCACCTCCTTCTCTTGGGAGCAGTGGTTGTGGAACCCCCATCCCTAGGACAGTGCATCTCATGTCTTCCAATCGGCGGAGTCTCCTTCTGCTCCCTTCCCTCAGACGTATCATCTGGTCCACTCTCCGCCTTAGTACCTGTGGAGAGAACATGAAAACGGTTGCTTACCTGTATCTGCGTTGCTGGTACATGGATGCTCCCCTTTCTTCTTCTGGAGGTCACATGCTGCCAGAGTATGGCTGAAGATTGGGCACGAGCCCTGGCCAGATGGAGAGAGGAAGAGGAGGAGTACAGGATCAGGAAGCAGGGATATGGATTGAGTCTGGGTCCCCCTTTGTTTTTAGTTGAGAACCCTGGGGACGCCCCATTGTCACCCCCCTAGGGGAGGGAGGGGCCCAATCTCCATGGCCTCTCTGCCTTGACTGCCAGTGAGGGGACCAGTTAGCCCCAGTTAGAGCTGGTGGCTGTTTTTTCTGACATGGCCGGCTGGGACCACCAAACTCATCATGCCCAGGGGACGCCCGGCGAGAGAGACAGATTTTCGCTCTGAAATCCACACGTGGCCTCAGATTGTCTAGAAAATTGCAGTGTGTCACGGGGGCCCCTGGGGAAGGCGACTGGTCCAAATTTGAGGTCACTTGAGCAAAGGGTTCCCGAGATACAGCCCCCCCCCGCTTAAAAAAAAACCCCACAACAGCAAAATTGAACAGTTCTCATAATGTTATTTTGCCTGGGGCTGAAACCCTGCCTTGGATCCTCCCCTAACTCATCTCAGCCAGTGGGCTTGATCTAAGTGTCTCGCACCCATGGCCCTTTTGGGGAAGCCATACCGAAAAAATTAGGGCAAACGTTGGGGCTCACCCTGTGGCTGGAGTCTCAGCTACATGGGTGGGGGCAGTGGGCTTGGGTCTTTGCTGGGCCAGGTTTGCACAGATTTAAGTTTAACCCCTTCACAGCCTGAAACGTCACGTGGCCCGGCTGGGCCACATTAGCCCTCTGTTAATAAAGGTCTTGGGTACTTAATACAGTCTCTGTCCCATTTCCCAGTACTCCTCCTCTTCTTGGGCTCGTCCCTGCCCTCTGAATAAACAGAATGGATTCTTTACAACCTGCAGCCGGGGT